CAGTCTTTCAAACTCTCGCTGCATCTCATGATCAGGCATTTTATCAGTGAGCTAGACTGTGTGGTATACCAGTATATGCAGGAATCCTGCCTTCACAAGAGCTGCAAGAAGACAAGCTTCCCTTGCCAGGTAGCTGCTGCAGAATGCAACAGTGACAGCGGGATTAGAGATGAAGGGGAGGCGCAACATCATCTGATTCCCAGTCTGTTCAGCAACACAAATCAGAAGGCTGAAGCAGACCTGATCAACAGCTGGAGAATCAGGAATGCCAGAGGTAATATACTATCAGTAATCAATATTTCAGCCACAGAAATAACAAAGCAAAGTACAAGTGACTAAACAATACCACCTCAAATATGCACTGGGTAAGGGCAAGTGCATTACACATACTGAAAGTGCGGGCTTTTCCACAGCCCCCCCCCCCCGAAGTATTACTTCTTTATTTTACCATGTTCCACAGAAGAACATTTCACCTCTTTAGCATTCACCAAAAAGGATTCTGAAAGTCATATTATTCTCATGTTATAAATACAGAAACTGACAGAAAGATCCAAGGAGTCTACAAGAAGGAAAAACTTGTATTTTGTCCAGTAGCACTGCAAAAGTCTTCTTTAATAATCCCAAAATAAAAATGGAGAAAATGAGCTTCTTGATAGTGCTACACATTTGAAGCACCTTTGGCAGTGTATTCAACATCTGTTAAATTAACTAAGCTACAAGATAAGAAACTGTAGCCCACAATAATTTGGAAACAGATCTTCAACGCTTGCTAATGGCAAAGCTCATTTTTCATCCTACTTTGCATTCAATTGCCCTAATAAATAGTTATTTCACCATTATTCATTATGATATGAAAGATTTCTCACTCTTGCTATTGTAAGTCTATATTAGAATTGCTTTTCTGTTTCTTTAAATATGGCTTTTGCTTAAAGCAAACCATAGCAACTGCAAAGAAGTTACCTGCACCCCCTAAGCTCTGAGTGAATTGCTCAAGCATTACTAATTTTGAGGTGGGAGGAGTTGAAGAAATGAGGTCTTTTTATATAAAAAGCTTAAATGACTCATGAAAACTCTTTTGGCATAGCTTATACATGCTTGATGACAACAACAACATATATAGCACCTTCCATCGCTTAAGTGCTGTACAAACTAGCTAGAGTTCAACAACTAAAACCCAAACCCCACCTTTATGGCCTGCAAAATCAAACTCATTTTTCATATGAAAAGGGGGAGAAGTTAATGAAAACATTGGCCATAACATGCTATTTCTGAGAGCAGGAAACTGGTTGAACAGGATCAGTCCCAACACCAAACCCTGAGGGACACCACTTGTTACCTATCTCCAGCTGGACATTGAGCCATAGACCGCAACTCTTTGCATGCAGCCATCCAGACAATTCCTTAGCCACTGGGTGTCCAACCATCAAATTGATGTGTCTCCAGTTTAGAGACAAGGATGTCATGCGGGACAGTGTCGAATGCTTTGCACAAGTCCAGGTAGATGATGTCAACTGCTCTACCCCTGTCCATCAGTTCCATAGCCCCATCATAGAAGGCCACCAAATTGGTCAGGCAGGATTTCCCCTTAGTGAAGCCATGCTGGCTGTCACCAACCACCTCGTTTTTATGTGCCTTAGCATGCTTTCCAAGACAACCTGCTCCATGATCCTGCCAGGAACAGAGGTGAGACTGACTGGTGTGTAGTTTCCCAAGTCCTCCATTTTCCCCTTCTTGAAAATGGGGGTTTTATTTCCCTTTTTCCAGTCCTCAGGAACTTCACCTGACTGCTACAATTTTTCAAATATGATGGACAGTGGCTTAGCAACTTCATTCACCAGCTTCTTCAATCATAGAATGGTTTGGGTTGGAAAGGACCTTAAGGTAGATCATTTGGTTCCAAACTGCCTGCCATGGGAATCCTCACCTTAGAGGCTCTGTTCAACCTGGTTTTGAACACTGCCAGGGATGGAGCATTTACCACTTCTTTGGGCAGCCTGTTCCAGTGCCTCACCACCCTCACAATAAAGAACTTCTTCCTTATATCTAACCTGAACTTCCCCTGTTGAAATTTAAACCCATTACCCCTTGTCAAATATGAGAGAATTAACCTAATAAAGAAGCTAAGGCTGGATCACAACCAGAACCCAGTAACAATATTGCTCTCAAGCTCAGATGACATATCCAAAAAACTATGAAGTATTTCCAGATTGCACAAGCAACCTGATGTGTGTCCTGAGAGTTGCCAAACACTGCTTTTCTCTGCAATCACTGCACCCTAAAACCAAAAAGGAAAATGCAGACACTTTCTCAAAGTGCTGCTGACCATCCATAGTGAAGACAAAGCACCCACAAAGGAAGAGCAGCTATCCACCATATGACACCATATGGCTTTCCTTAATTAGAAACTAGCTAACATTAGAATCAGCAAGTGAACAGTAGGCTCCATACACTGCTACTGCTTCCACCTACAACCTTTATCTCAGTTCCTTCATACCCTATACTGTCTACCTACCCCACAGTATTCCCTTTGTCTTCTTCTCCTACTCTATTTTCTGCCTGAAACAACTCTCCTCCTCTTACGTGCCAGATACAATTCTCTCGCTTTCTTGCAATACTTTCTCATCCCAGTTCCCTCCAACTCAGCTCTGTTAGGGGGCTTCCATTGCCATTATCCATGCTGCACAACAGGGACATTGCTTCAGTCATCACACACCTTGTCATTCAAGAAGACAAGGGTGGGCTTGAAGACCTTCTGTAAAGCATGCCTGATGGTGCAACTTGGTATCTCAGACCTTACAGTGAATAGCTGCTCCCTTTCAGCTGTTCATCAGCAGTGATAACTAATTGTTCAATCCCAAATAAAAGCCTGAAGGGGAATATGCTCACATTAAGGATAGAAATTAATTCAGAAGTTCCCACGTTCTGGTTTGGAATTCCCTGTCAGATAGATCCAGACCAGAAAAATAGCCTTTTTTTTTTTTTCACAAAGGCAGCAGCACTCTGGGTAATCAAAGAGCAGCCTTAACAGGGATGAGTTAATTATGAAATACATCTCAAGATAGAGCCAGCAATTAGCATTTAGTTTGCCACATAGAGCACACCAGAAGTACACCTGGAGCAACCAGGATGGGCCCTTTTACAGGTGCACGCACCATACAACCCAGGGCCTTCCAGCCTGCATGAGTCACCTACACCTACTGAAGAATTTCTCTGATCATCTCAACATCCTACAAGAAAAAAAAACAAAAACTTGAAACATTCTTCCTGTAATTTATTCCTGCTTGAGAGGATTTCCCTAAACACACAAATCTATAGTAAGCATGGAGCTCTTCAGCTACATCAGGGGTGCAGACATTCCAGGTCCTTCACAGAAACCTGACCAATCCAAGTGGTTTTTACTTTACTGCTTCGCTTTCGAAGCATATGCAGTATTTAATACTTCAGAGGCAGTTTGTGTTTCTCAGGCACTGTACAAACACCAGCTAATTAGAGACAGCTAACAAGACTATCCCAAGATACTGAATCTCAGCATGTACCAAGGATTTGTGTTTCCTTCCCCCTAAAATAGGAAAAAGATGAGGATTGAAAGATGCCCAAGAGCACGCTTTCTGAACTGTAGAAGAGTATCTTCAAGAAAAAGGCATTATATTTGAGACCTCAAACCGCCAGGTCAGAAAGACCCCGCTGAGCCAGGCCAAAGATGAATGGATAAAGTTCACTGGTAACTGGTAAGAAGGCATCAGACACGCCACCAGATGCAATTTCTATTCACAACAGACTTTGACATTGTACATGCTTGTCTCCTGAACCAGCACTACACTGCAGCCATGCCTCTAGGGGCTCTATTCTGAACAAAACAAATGAAAATAAATTGTTAATCCCTTAATTAGGGGCACCCACTTCACCTTCTACAGGAATAATTTAGAAAGCCTCAATGAGCCACAGGTCACCCAAGGCGAAAATGTAATATGTGAAAGTGACTCAGATTGTTGGTTCATTTCTCTGAACCTACACCCAACTGTGCAAAGGTACTGAAGGGAAGTACTCAGTGTTAATTGAGAACAGCTTCACAAACCACTCATCACCACCTGTTTCAAAAGTCATCCTCTCTCAGATTTCTGATGGGAGTTGCATTACACTAGCCAAGTCACTGATTCCAGGTCACAAGCACAGCTCCAGGAATACAAAATTAGGACCATGTTCCCTTGAATTTTCATAAACCCTCTTTTAAGCCACAACAGCTAGGGGATTAACTGTACTTTCCCAGCTCAGCTACTTCACTGCTTGCAAGATAAGAACAGAAGCACACACTCCATCCACAGAAGCAGCTTGTTAGGTGTCATCATCCATTCTGCTACCCTCTTCCTCTGACCTCCCACACAACAATTGCCTCATAGAACAGTCCTACAAAGCTACGTCCACTAGATTATGAGTCAAACCCCATAATACTTATCTATTTCAGGATACCAGTGGCACGAACCAGACTATCTACAACCAAAGCAAAGGTCAGAGTTAAAAGCTTCTCTTCCTTCCCACTGACATTTCTAGGTAGCTGCCTTCAGAAGGAGCTGCACACCCTATTCTATGTGCATCCATCTCACAGTAAATACAAAAAATAGTATGATCCATCCCCTTTTACTCAAGGGCCTACCTCCTTTCAACTTACAAGTATCTCAGAGATAAACACTACTGCATAAACATTACTCAATTTCTCCAATCAGGTGAAGAGGGATTCAGGTAATGAAACAGAAAACAAAGACATTTGGATACCATGGTGATCATGGCCAGACAAGAAAGTAAATTAGCTACCATTATGATAATGACCTGGCTTTCCGAAAGAGGTAATTAGCATGTAGCAACTAAGAAGCAAAATAAAGATGCTTTAACAGAATTGCTGCTTGGTGTTCAACCCTGTAGCAACGGAACAAGGAGTCACAGCCACCAAACAGCCGCCCACTCTGGGATTTTCATGTTTGACTGTCTCTGCAGATGTGAAGTACCTGACCAGAGCTCCCTCCAAGTGTAATGAAGCCTCACTCTGCATTTCTTCTGGTAGCACAGCAGCTTGTGCACAATCTGAATGCACCGTCTGGAAGAGAGAGGGCAAAGACTTAATTATACTGCATTTCCCGGCAATTCTACATTGAAGCTGGAAACGTCTCTGAAATCAGCAGCAGGGAAATAGACAAACTCAAAGCCTATCAGAGGAGCATGGGGCTCATGATTTTGGGCAACTAAACAGAAGTGACACCCATAAGGAAGAACCAGACAAGAGAGGGAAAGGAGCATATAAGCCAGTTTAAGCTCAACATGGTTGGACCAACTACAAATGCAAGTTTGTTGTTTATATTTAACGAATACTTTCCACTCATTGATACCTGTACCTGAGGGTCTCATAAGCTCCACAAAAGGAGTTACTTAAATTGCACGCTCCATACCTATGAGGTCCTGCACTCAGATTTTGTAAAATCTGGACACAATGGAGCTTCTCAGTTTCTTTGGTCCAAATGATGAGGCTAAAGGAAATGACAAACTGCAGGATTTTTAGTTTGGCCATGGTATCCAACTTAATTACACTCAAAAAAAAAAAGAGAGTAAGATTTCTGTCAAATTTTCCAGTCTCCTTAAACAAGTAAGTTAAGTATGAGCTTTGGAATGACCAAGCAATACACCCACATGCTCTGAAATCTCCCAATGTACAGCTAGTATACTTGTGAAGTCTCCAAATCCTGTAGGTCTCTAAAGCATCCAGTGTTCATACAAACTCTCAAGTGCACATTCTTCACAAATAACATCAGAACTAAATATACAATATAATGAGTAGCTTCTCTAGCAGTGGCTATCGTTAAAGACAAGACAGAAAATATATACAAATTTGAATTTGTTGGACCAAGCTATTTTTAGTTACTGACATTTAGAAAAAACAGAAGGAAGACTTTAAAAAGGAAAAATTCCTTTTTGTCCAAATCCTTATTTCTCAAAACAATATTGTCTCATTAATGTCAACATGTCAGTGAAGAGACACCACTGAAAGACACTACATAGACAAATACAGAGAAATTGAATTTTAAAATATTTACATGAAAGTTATTCAAAATTGGGGTGAAAAGTTCAAGATAAGCCTTTTAAAAGTCATAAGAAATAATATGCAGAAGGTACACATCATTCTTTTCAGACCGTTAGATGATCCCAAAAATACCACGATGGGGTAAGAAAACTAACCTTAGACAAATGAAGGTAAACCCATTTATAATGCCTGAGCATCACATTAAGTGCTGTATTTCAAACTGTATTCTCATAAATTCAACCAAGAAAAAGGAGCAAATCAGCTAGGATACAGACAGCTTCAGATCAGGAACAGCAATCACCCTGGGAAGAGACCTGCTATTTCTGATGTTACTGGTACCAGCCAATGCCAGTACCTTCCCACCTTTGTATTTGTCTGGCTGTAAGACTAAAACTGGCCTCTACAAAAAAAAGCCACAACTACTTATGGTACTTAACAGAGAGAATCAGGCAATGGCTAAAACCTTTCTTTATAATTACAGTAGCTGTTAATGCAAAACACTCTGCAGACCTAACACAGCATTGAAACCTTGTGGTTGTATACAGCACCACACAGCTTTCTGTGTGAAGTTAAGGCATGGAAGTAAATGTATGAGAAGGGGCATAACAGTCCTAGTACCCCTGGCTAAAGAGCCAGAGCAGCAGCTACCAGACCATAGACTCCCAGACCACACTGCTTTAGTTATGAAACTGCTTTTACAGAATTATCCATCCCGGTGGGGTGTCTCTGGTTTTGGCTTTGTGCCGAGGATTCATAATGTACATAATGGACACAAAGCACCCTTGGTCAAAGCAACCTTAGATTTCTCTTTTAAATATTAATATGCCCTCCTTTAAGCAGCTTCATACTGTCACCTTTTAAATGTACTGCAGAGAAGTATGACACTATTTGTGCATTCAGAACACCCACTTTGCCTGCAATAACTGTGTCTGCTACAGGATGGTTTCAGCAGCAGTGCAGTGAAAGGACTGCACAAACATGCCAAAATGAATGGATACAGATGTCCACTGGTGGTTGCTGCTGCTCATTATTTTTACTCTCACGGGGTTTCTAGATGTGACCTTACCTTTGAGCCCAAGCATTTTTCATCTCCCCCTTGTGAGATTCCAATGCGCTATACCCATCTATAGCTAATTCTGTAATTGTCATTAAAAAAATCTCAAACATTTCTCATGAACCCATAATTGAATTGAACAACCCTTGCAAAGGCACTGCAGTTGCAAGGTTATTTGGGCAAAATCAGAACATGCTGAAAAGCTACCTTAAGGGAAAACAGCCTATGTATCTTTATCTCTTCTACAGAACAGTGCTGGTTCAAGCCTTGGGGAAATTCAGTACTGTACAAACAGTCAGGGAAAAGCCAATGATCAGTCTAAATCCTATTTCTGCCCTCCAGGCTAAAGCAGAACAAAGCATTCTAGGGGCCTCATGGGACACATGGAGTATGTACGTGTAGCCCTGTCCTCTTCTCTCCCTTTCCCCATTGCTAAATTTTACCCCTTGCTGCCTAACAGGCTATTTCAGGCTTAAACCTCTCTCCCACTCTCCAGATTGCCTTCCAGGCCTCACGTCAGTCAATACTTGGGGTTTTCAAAACTGTCTTTTCAGTTTCTAGACCAAGATTCATTTTCTGGGAAGTGGAGATTCTTGCAATGACTGTATATTATGAAAGTTCTTTCAGACTGAAAAGCTCTTTGTGTTTGATCAAGGAGATTAGAAATCGGTCCAAAAGGTGGAAACTCATTTTGCTTTCAATTTTCTGGCATACAGAGCATTTTAGAAGAAAAGTTGCTGCAGGAGTTCATGCTCCCACCACCAGCCACAAAGTGTTGTTTCAGCCAGAAGACTGCTCTATGACTAGAATTGCACCCAAATTCAAACTTCAAAGGAAATCACAATGAGTCACCCCACAGACACTTACACATAGAGATCCATAGGAAATTCCTTCATCATGTGTGTTACGATGAATTCCACCATCAAATCTGACAGAAAAGAAAATGATAAGGTAAGCATTGACCTAGCTATGGTCAACTTCTAGTAGACAACAGGGAAGTCAAACTACCCCATCTACGTACCTCTACCAGAAAACAGTCCTGCTTAGATGAGAGAAATTTCCCTTGTTTGTTTTGAAGAGCATTAGACATCCTTTAGAATTAAAAAATAAACCCAACCACTGGAAACTGAGGGTATATATTGTAACTCACTTTCAGGCACTGCTTCCCCATAAGCTTTCCCCCACTATTAGTTAAAGTCTACACCATGAATTCTGATGCTTAGAATTGCTCCCATATTTCAAGCCATGTCACAAATGGAAAATTCCATTAAGAAGCACATTTTAGAAAATCGTTCTTACCAGAAATAATGCAGAACTTACATGTTTACTTGAAGAGAAGGCATTGTCGAGAACACTGATTTTTTTCCCTAAAATAAACTCTGAAGCAAGTAAACCAAGTCTGACCTCAACATGGGCTAAACATCTGCTGAAACCTCACTCAAGAGAAAAGATTTAAAAAAATTAGGGAGAATGTCTCTAACATTTTAGAACCCCCAGTGTGAGGCTAAGAGACAAAGAATAGAGAAATACAATAAAAGGGGTAAGTTAGCATGGTTCAGCTAATAACTGCTAACTGAACACAAATGTGTTCTCTGCCCAATACAGCTTCAGTGTCACATGCTTAACCTGGGCTAGTGGCAGCAACTGGAAGATGTCACCTCCTAGGGCACTAATAGCCCAGCAATATGACTCAATTGTGACTAAAAATAGTGTAAGGAAAGAGTGCATGAAGTATAGGAAGATTCTTCATGAAGTTGCTGCGTCCTGACTTCAACAATCACCTGTTTGAAAATGCTGGAGTCTTAGACTGCTTCCAAATCATCAGGCTTAAGGGTCATCAGTGATCCAGACTCCACCCATTTCTGCACCCATTTATGCTTTGGGCCTCCACAGCAATGAGCATCCCAATTTAATCATATGCTCCCTGAAAACCTTTTCATTGTGCCTCTATCTCCACAGGCAAAATCAGACCTAGCTACGGACATTCCTATCAGACTTCTGCTCAGAAAAGACCACATGCCCAGAAAACACATTCACAAATGTGTCCTTTCCAGAGGTTTGCCTTCATCATATCATTGTGACTAACTGTTGTCATGATCACCTAAAACACTGAATATATTAGTCAACATCCTGGGCTGTATCAAAAGGAGCATGACCAGCAGGTCGAAGGAGGTGATCCTGCTCCTCTACTCTGCTCTCGTGAGACCTCACCTGGAGCACTGTGTGCACTTCTGGTGTCCTCAACGTAAAAAAGACATGGAACTGTTGGAACAAGTCCAGAGGAGGGCCACAAGGGATGATCAGGGGACTGGAGCACCTCCCGCGTGAAGGTAGGCTCAGAAAGTTGGGGCTGTTCAGCCTGGAGAAGAGAAGGCTGCGTGGAGACCTCATAGCAGCCTTCCAGTATCTGAAGTGGGCCTATAGGGATGCTGGGGATGGACTCTTCATTAGGGACTGTAGTGATAGGACAAGGGGTAATGGGTTCAAACTTAAACAGGGGAAGTTTAGACTGGATATAAGGAGGAAGTTCTTTACTGTAAGGGTGGTGAGGCACTGGAATGGGTTGCCCAGGGAGGTTGTGAATGCTCGATCCCTGGCAGTGTTCAAGGCCAGGTTGGACAGAGCCTTAGGTGAGATGGTTTAGTGTGAGGTGTCCCTGCCCATGGCAGGGGGGTTGGAACTAGATGATCTTAAGGTCCTTTCCAGCCCTAAATGTTCTACAATCCTATGATTCTAACAGCCCTCCCTATTGTTACTAATTCAGGTAAAAGGCGTCAAGAAGCTTCTGCAAAACTTACTGTAAATTTATACAGGATTTCTTGCTACAGAGCAGTAATCTTGGATTTAATTTCTCTGTGAGCAGCCACATATAAAGAGGGACAGTCCACTGCTGGAAGTATCTTTAGTATGGAACTGCTCTCCTTTTAAGTCAATCCATCTCTCCCCTTGATCCACAAATCTCATATTTCCATTGCAGAATAAAAGGTGCTTCAGGAAGCACAAACACGCGCTTTAACAGTACTCACCAAGCACTGCACACACCAGCGGGCGACAGGGCAGGTTTTTATCTGCTGCTTTCTTTCTATGTCTCATTGGCTTCAAACACACAAAGAAGAGAAGAATTCAGTAGAAGCCTGAAGTGACATTCTGCGTATTACTGTATCTTTTGTGCACATAGTTCCATCAGCACAGGCTTCCCTTTGCCTTTTTTGCCAAATGCTTTCTCATCTATTTAATCCTACAAGCCATGGCTGGAGCAAAATTGTGCCATGCGTTTCAGCATGCTGACTACGGTTTTTGTTTCTCTAGCTGCATAACTGAAGGGCACTGTTATATCATGGGGAGGGGTGGGAGTGGTGGAAGAAGAAATACCACCACACACAAAAAAATGTCAGCACACAGCAATTCCTCCCCCTTGGTTAACACAGTGATTTACTCCTGACCCAGAAGTTTGATCAGCATTTTGATCAGCATGTACAGTATTAAATGGCTTTGGTCTTTATTGTAACAGGCCAGAAAGGTTAACTGAAGGGCAAGTTTGTAGTTAAGTGGAAATAACTAGCATCCGTGTAGTATGCTCACTATAAAGCAAGATGCTTTTTCCTGTCCTGGACTAGGGATACTTTCAAGTGCTGCTGCACTGTCAGATGAGGTGGAACTTGCCAGACATCAAGTTAGGATAACCATTCAAATTACTTGTAAGTACAGAGCTTCATGACACAGGTAAAGACACTTCCTCCACACGTATCCATAAGAAAAAGCTCTGGAAAAAAAAGTCTTAATCCTTGAAGGTGAATCACCCCACCCAGGATGAAGCATAAACCAAATCTGAGCACTCGGTGTAACTCCAGCTGGCAATTAACGTATCACATAAGGGCTAATGCTTGCTGAAGATTCAGGCAGAACATTCTCTCTGACACAGATCTCCTTAGAGACCCCATACACAGCTCCTCCCCAGCTACACAGGCCCCTGAATTCACCGACAGGGAAACCAGCTCTTTGTTCTTTGAAGGAGTGAAATGTTCTGAGAGCAACTTCAAAAATCATTCCCCAACTACTGCATTTCTCACCAGTATTTTCACATGCTTTAGCAATCTAGGTTAGAAGTCTCTGACATAGTTTTCAACATACAGGGACTAAAATCCTCTGTGTTCTCACCACAGAGAGAAAATAGACCATCTGGAAGAAAAAACTCACCATCCTGTGTAGGTTTACTCGAAAATTCATGTTGTCATCATGGAGAAAAGCATTAGCATACTGATCCTATTGAAAAGAGCAAGAAAAGGGAGGAGATATGAATAGCCAGCCAAGGGCCTGACACCTCCCACTTGCCTCTCAAGTCACATGTGTTTCAGTGTAAAAATCCCAACATAGAGCTATAAGGTTATTAAGCCAGCTGTCACCTCCTCTTGTCCTCACCCGTGTCTCCAATCACACAAAAGTGAAACACTCCTGATCCTAATTCCACTCTAACCAAAGTCTGTGCTACTGCTTGTTTTGTTAACAATTTATTTTCTGCTCTCCTCCTTTGCTCATCCAAACTCTGGACTGCACACACCACAGTGGCAAGAGTTTAACAAGTGCTGTATAATTCATGAGTTGGATTTCCATGCAGGTTCCTATGACTGCATGGATGAATGTTTATACTGGCTTTTTGATGGACCCACCATGCCAGAAGTTCCTGCAGTACTAGCAGGTAGGTTTATCAGCTGCACTACCCCTCAGGCAAAGCTCATTCCAGGACCAGCTCTAAATTAAAGTAATTCCTCCAGATAATGCACAGCCAGGTTTGGTAATAAATATACCCTCCCTTTACTACCAGAACCAAAACATGTTCTTACTCTGCAGAAACAGAATCTTGTATTATCTATAGGTCCACCTGAAGAACTTAAGTACCAAACAAATTTAATTATAAATATTTGAAATGCAGATGATTAACTTTCAAGCTGCACCCTGGAGAAACATTACTTCAAAATCCTTACCTTGGCTATCAGCATCACTGCTTTTTATTCTTAATAAAGAATGAAAGTTCTGTACTTGCAAGCAAAATGCAAATGCCACACAAAGTCAATCATCATTCAGGACATCAATCATTCCATTAGCACATACTTCCCATGAGACAGGACCACATTCAGACAGGACTACTGACGTAGCTCTGCAATATTGCTTTCTCACCCTACTATCAGATTTGCTACTTGTCTTGCTTGTAGGCACCTACAGTCATAGAGCTTTCTTTCAGATTCATATCCTTCTTAAGCAGATGGGATATGGCATTGCCCATGCTTAGCATGAAGAGCACAGAGCTGAAAGCCATTAGCACATTGCTCATCTAAAAGCCACACCACAGCGTCATTCAACAGCTGAAAGAGAAAAGGCTTAGGTTCACTCTTTTCTCTCTTCATCTTTGGGAGTTCAGTAACCCAAATAACATGAGCCAACTTTCAAGTGAATTTTAACAGTAATGCATCAGGTTTATTAGCCAAATGTTAAGTGCCTGAGGTCCTCACTACTCAGTACCACTGCAGATCTTCAGCTCCTGCTCAACAGGAGCAGGGGATGTGCATGCAGATAGAGCCCTGTTACCATCTGCTGAACACTTTCAACCAAGAAACCTACCTCTGCTATGCATGTCAGGATAATCAGACACAGCTTGCCACTGTGTAGCCGGTGCTCATCTGCAAAGAAGAAAATACAAGTCCTCCATGAGCCACACAAGCTTAGCAATGCTGTAGAGCGAAACTGCAGCAAGAGAAAAGCCCAGCCTTGGAGATTTTTTATGCTCCTGCTTCCTCCATGATAGCTAGTAGTGCAACTACTCTCATTAAGCATTCGCCCTCTAACCTGACCACTAAATCCCACCAATTTGTCACCAGTCTGTGCAAAGTTTCTGATTTGAAGCTCCAGTAACACTGTAACTATCAAGTGGGGCTTCTGTCTCGTTCAGCTTTACTCCACAGATACCCTAAGTACTGGAGTTGGTCCCTGTCTTTCTGTCACAGCACAGACGTACTTTTCCCTCTCTTAGCCAAGACAGAAAGAAAAAGATCACCGCTGCTTTAGGTTGTGAAACAAGCAGCAAAAGTCCTGGTAGAGGCATAGCATGGTGTAGCAGAACTCCTTTTTATGCTCAAGGTCCTGAGTTTTAACCCCAGTACTGAGAGACATGACCTCCTCTGTGCAAAACCTTGACAGAAGGAAGTCTGCAAAGACCTAGCATTTTAAGCCAAAGGAGTTCACCCTGATTATTTTCCACAACTTGTTACTCATCTTACAGCTTCAAGCAGCTTTTGCCCTGAATGACAACTGGAGGGCTGAAATGCCCACAACTAGAGAGCGACTAAGGCAGAAGAATGCCATTTTTGCCTGGATTATTTAAAACTCACCCTTCTTGATTTTAACCTTGAAATATCAAAAAGATACGTACTGCCAGAGTAACTTGGGATGGGAGAAACCTCTGGTGCAACCTGTGCCCAAAGCAGGGCCAGCTAGTATCAGGTTGTTCAATGCACTGTCCAATCAAGCTCATTTAAAAATCTTTGTTCTAAAAAACAAACCAGTCGCACCACACACACCTCAAAACACAAAAAGGAGGTAGCAACCACAACAACATACAACCAAATTCTAAGGAAGCTTAAAACTGCACATTCCTGAGACCTCCAACAGCTTCTCTAAAGGGTATGACTACCAAACATGCCATCCTAGACACATGCCTTAGAGTCAAACTGGGAGAAGAGAAAAAATCAGAAACAGTTAGACCACTCTCCCATAAATCAGAAGACATCATCAGCCAAACTCCTTGCCTCTTTGCAGGTCACTTTCATAAACACTTTGCTAGTTAGAGTATGTACAATAATCTATAAAAATAGATGGAATGAGCTGTTCCGTCTACTTTGATGCCTCTTTGGTTTTCTTTTCTATGCTGCTGAGGGACAGATGTTTACTAACAAGATGTGTCCTGAAGTGTGCTGATTTCATTGTGCTGCACTAAGTAAGATGAAGAGGAATTTTGGAATGGGAGAATTAAAAGTCTCTTCTATGTCTCCTTACCTCAGCTAAAATGTTTAACTTAAAAGTTTTGTCTTCCAGCAAAGCAGGAGTAATGGCCTCAAAGAACTCTGATACACTGGAGTCTTGTTATTTTCCTTTTGTAAGGCCTCCCTGTATATTTTTGTACCGCTTCTCTCTCTGGGGATTGTACTGTAAAGGCTTCTGTTTCACACCAGGTACTCTGCCTTTAGCCAATGTGTTATGATCATGCCATTTTTAACAGTTATGGGGCAGCTGTGCAGACAGTTACTCACACAGACGCTTCATACTTTCATAGCATCTTTCATTAAAGGAACAAAGCATATGACTTCCTATGGGGAGGTATATCAATATGAACCCTGTTTTACAGATAGGAATAAATGATGCAGAGTTTTTGCTTCTCCCAAGGCAGCTGCCTCTGACTGACACAAGAGAGAAAACAAGTGGAGAATCTGGAAAACACAATCTATTAAATTATGCTCTCTGAGACAGGACCAGAACTGTCTAGTCCTGGATGTGGAACAAAACAGTCTCCCTTCCACGTGTTCCCACCTGTATCAAGACGCATGGAGTAAAGTGGAATTATTCATCCTTCTTTTCTTGTTACTATATTGGTGTGACACAGAGTCATAGAATCATGTAGGTGGGAAGTCACCCTTAAGATCATGGAGTCCAACTGTTAACCTAACAAGGCCAAGTCCACCACTAAACCATGTCCCTAAGTGCCATGTCTATACATCTTTTAAATACCTCCAGGGACGGTGACTCAACCACTTCCCTGGCCAGTCTATTTCATATTTGGTCTTGCACAAGAATTAGAAAACGTTTGGCAAGACCCCATTTATCATCAAAATATAAAGACAAGAATATGCCCATTTGAGACCCAAACCCACTGGGTTGGAAGGCACACTTCTTCTGAATGATCAGTCCATGAAACTCACTGTCACATTACTACCATGGCAGGAAGGAGATTAAGTACATCAGCCACATGAATTTCAAATGTTTTACAAACTAGAACCAAAGCAAAGAAAGAAACATCAATTCCTGTCTCACACAAGAATAAACTCGTCTCTCACTGGCTTGTTTAGTAAAGAACTCTCTCTATTAAATTTCACTCCATCTGAAACTAATCCCGTTTGGCAGTTCCCAAGGCCCAGTGCAGACTCTCCATATTACAGTGATTAATAAGTGCAGAAGTTAAACTGAAAAACATTGTTTCACTAGAGACTTGGATCAGCAAGAAAAACCCTGGGAAAAGCAAATGAGAACAATTAGGGCGCTGGTAAGCCCTCCTCATGTGTGCAATCTATAAAAAATGACTGAGCAAAGACTGATGTGCTTTAGCTTAAAGACAAAAGCAAGAGGAAACATGAAAGCAGACTTCAAATACATAAGGGCCGACACAAAGGAGAAAGAAATAAACCATTCTCGATATCTATCTTGGAGAAGATAACTAGTAAGTAATTTAAATCACAGTGAAGAATTAGAGAGCACATGAAGCTTTCTCACAATAAGGGTAGCTAAACACTAGAATGGATAGTCTAAAAATGATGTGCCACTTTAAGAGTGTCTTCAGGCAACGTTAGCAACATCTTTGAGAAAAGATACAGGTAAACCTGATTCTGCCTTGGTTTTGTGGGGTGCACTAAATATTTTCATTAATTCCTTTTTGGTCCTAATTTGAATTATTCACGTTTTTCTTACTTAGCTTGCATACTGAACAAGAACACAACAGACAGGTACAATTTCACTGCAAGCAGTAGGTACGAGGAAACTCTCCTGCCTGCTCTCTTACTCAGTGCCAAGTGTTCGTGAAGTTCAGTAATCCCTGTTTCATAGCTCTGCAGATACCGTCCTATTTTTGTTCAGCTGTTACATCTCAGTTAGCAGCAGCAGTCCGTAATAGGCTGAAATACGGTACAAAGATCACTTGTTATGTTCACACTATGGTCTTGCCCATACAACCACTGGCCAAAACAGCACTCTTGGGTACCTTGAGCAGGAGATGAAGCAATACTTCAACTCCCACAAAACTATCAGGAGAAACAAAAAGCACAATATGGAAATATATATTCTCAAGCAAATTACTGCCAGTAGAGCGTAAGTTACTGCTGTCTTCTTTATAATCAAAGAGCTACCTGTTTAACCAGCAAGTACCAAAGGACAAAGGAAATATTTCCTCCCAGTGCTGAGCTTTGCCTCCTGTGTCAGCTTCTAAATGTTCTTAAAAATACTTCCCCTCTCTGACAGACAGCTGGGAATCAGATATGCTCACACCCCCTTTATAGAGACAGGCTTGGTTATTAGGTACTATTATTACATTCTTTCCAAATTTGACTTCTCTCCTACCAGCATTAGGTCTCTCCTCATCTCCTAACTCTATCTTGCAATAAGAAATCATTTAATTTTCTCAAAAGGTGGAATCTTCAGTCCTCTAAAGGGACTAGTAAATGTCTATTTATGGAGTGACTAGACATGTTCTTATGCCCTCTTGACTTCAAGAAGCACTGCTTGCTGCACCCAACAGAATGTATTTACCTTTTGTGTCCTGCATCACAATTGAGCTGTACTTCAAGAAGGTTATCAGCAGGTTGCTGGTTTGCACATCAGCGTCCAAAGGCAGCTCTGCAGAGCTTATAACTGGAACAAAGCAGATAAGACACGTTTACCCTCCACAAACACAAGAGACAACTATACAGAGAACCAAGGCACAGACACAGATCTCTGATAGGATCAGCTTATTTACAGTCACCTGTCCTCCTCCTCCTTCATGACCACCCAGCAAAGATTTTGGTTTGAAGACAGGTACCATTCCCTCAGAGACCATTTCTCCCACTCTAAGTACAGGCTGTGGTACCCAACAAAGCAATACCCTTCTCTGTCCTCCCTTCCCCTCTTCCCCAAGGGAGATGAGGTTGCTAGTTTAGCACTCATCAACATTCCCAACCTAGAGAGTTCAAGATATTCACACCAATATCCATTTAATTCTTATAACCAACATAGGGAACATTCACACCATTCTCAGTTTGGCAAGAAACACGTCCAGCAAAGACCCTTTTCAACTTCAGCAGTTTTGGAATTTCGGTTCAAAAAAGTCCACATCAATTCCATTCTTCCCTCCCAACAACAGCCTCTCTCTCTTGCAGAAGCAACACACAAGACACTAATCAAATAGCTACTGCATAACTGAAGTGGTAGAAAAGAGAGGTAGAAAAAGCAGCCTTATAAAAAAAAACAAAACAAAACAAGAAGCAAAAGCAATCATGGATTGCACTAGAGAAATCACAACACAGCAGGGAGCAGAAACATACCCGCAGCAGAACAGCAGCTCATTGGCATTTCTCTAGGACACACTCCCTCCTACCACCAGCTGTACTTTTGAAACCTTAACACTGGACATCATCTGCCTTAGACTTTACAGGAAGCTGTCTCAATTACTCAGCTAATTGCACAACATGCCTCCTGCTCACTCCCCATGTACCATATGAAGCCCTGAGTTTATGAGCTGTCAGGCCTCCAGCATGTGACTGAGCCACATTTTTACCGATGACTGAGCCTGAGCTGCGTGTAAGGGCCAATCTCAGCCTTCCCATTCAGAAAGGCTTTATAAGAAATATTGGAAGGTAGCAAAAATGCAGCATGCATTTAACTGCAGATCCTGCCAGGTAAATCTTATCCTTTAAGATAAATTAGCTCAGACAAAATAAAGACACAAAAGAACCCCAAACAACACCAAACTGAGCTGCTTTAGGAGGACTTCAGTAAAGCATTTAATACAGCTCTGTATGAAAAAATTAGAGATAAGCAGATAGGTGGGAACCAGTACAGAAATTTAAAGTACATCAAAGATCTGGCAAAGGAGAAACAATTGGAGAAATTCTTAGTCTGGGAAAAAAGGTATTACTTGAATTTCTTAGGTATTAGTTTAGGGAATCATTTTCTTTTTTGTGCGAGACCTAGGCACAAGAAACAGCTGCTTGCTAATGAATCTCCTAATAACAGAAAGTGGCGGATACCTAAACACAGAGGAACATCAGACTGCACATAAAGAACAGGATAAAACCAAAGACCATGTAATAAATACAAGATGAAATTCAGTAATACAAGCTATAAGGTCAGGAATTCAAGGGTTATTTCCATGGTAAGCTGAAAGCTCATCAGCTGCAAATGGAATGCTGTGATACCATAGCACACTATCAGATCATGAGATGACGAGCTACCAACACCAAGCACTGAAGACTGTGGCACTACCACATATCCAGAAATGCATTTTCAGCTGAGACAGGAACACTGTAATGCCCACACAAGGTGGTGGTGAGACCTTGTGTCAAACACTGTGCATAATTACGCTGATCCCATGTTCAAGGAGGATGAACTCATACCTGAGCAACTTTAAAGAAAGCCTAGCAAGTTCATTAGAGGAAAAGACTGCCCTTCTATGAGACAGCAAAATACAGAGGCAAGTAGTCCCATGTTTGAAAGAGCTGTGTTCCAAAGACAGATTAAAACATGATAAATGGGCATATACTGACAAGAAATGCAGGATGGAAAGTTGAAGATTTTTAACCAAGGAACAAGATGTTGAAACTGCCTCCCAACAGGAATTGTTGTGAAACAAATTTAACAAATAGAGATCAGTTTAAGGGATTCTAAGATGATGTGCCTGCAAGCACAAGGCACTAGATTCAAAGAGTCAAGAAGATCTTTTGCAGCTCTACATGCCTGTCCTGACCTGACAACACCACCACTGCTCTGGCTGCCCAGAAGCTCAAACTTGCAGGTTTTCAAGTGCAAGAGGTCAGAGGTGGCTTGAATTACAATTGCCAGAAGGCTCTCTCTCTTCTCAAGCTATAAAGATAGCCCAAAATAAAGCACCTTTGCACTGGAAACTGATCTGCAGACCACTAGGACATCTTAATAACTATATTATCTCTTTCCATCTATCCTCAGGAATGTTCAAGGCTTTTCTTACTCTTCAGGAAACAAAAAGGTATTTATGATGAAATTGGACCTTGAAAGAAGTAAGGAATTACTCACATCTGAGTTTTGTATGGCTAGCCTTGGGACTCTGAGAGAAAGAGATCTGATCCTGTATGCAACTGTACTTTGGTTAGAGACAAGTCTGCTTTAACAAACAACACCCTTCCTTAATGCAAGCCTTATATCTCATAACCATGTAATGAGCCAAGTAAGGCTTATTTACCCCTGGAAGTGGAGCAAGCACAGGCACAGAAGGATGAAAGAGACAACAGTAAAATAGAGATTCTTTAAACTGAGCACTGAGAGGCTCAGAGCACAGCAGAGGCTCTCATGGAGCTCAGAATTATACAATCACCTTTAATACAAAATTGTAGCCCTTAGAAACAACAGGCCAAATAGATCAGGGTAATCTCGCTGTTCAAATCACATCAAAGAAATCATAATGGGGCTTTTACCTCCTACAGCCTGCATATCCCCAAGTGTGAGTTCTTTTAGTCCATTCAGTCTTGAAGCTCTGGGGCTCCTGACACATTGCCCAGTCTGTTGGCAAAGTCTATGCAATAAGACTGGAAGCTTTTTCACCCCCAATATTCTGAATAGCTCAAAGATGTAGCTACAAGTCTGAAAAACCTATTTATAGCCCCAGCGGGTCCTTCTGAAACTGTTACAATGAATGCAGTGAATGAATATTTAACAACAGTAAGCAAACTGACATTTAGATAACTATGGTGACAGGCACGCTTGATTTACATATTATGGCTCAACAGTTTCTAGCAAAAGTCTCGTTTGTTTTTTTTTTTTTAATAAAAAGCACTGACTCTGAAGAACACGTCACTGCTTGTCCTGTTCATGCTACAGACCTTCATTTGCTTAAACACAAACGTTGGAACTTTAAAAGGTCTTAATTCACACCATAGGCTAACAGCCAGAGACATTACAAACCAGAGTAAGAACTCATTTTTAATCCCAGACAGCATTAAAAGCATCTGAAACCCATAGATGGATTTTTACATGTTACTCTAAAGCTCAACTATGCTGCTTTATTTTTTAATGCAGGAAAAAGAAACCAATCTTCTCATTCCAAACCCAAAAAGCCTCTTGCTAATTTTCAGCCAGAGGCTAATTCTACAGCTGAGCTGCAAGACCTTAGAAAAAGAGGAAAATTCTGACATACCTTTAAAATTACAGCAAGACTAAAGCACCACCAAACTAAATTAAGCCAAGGTCTTCAAAAAAACCCCCAAAATTATCACAGAGTAGGGATCAGCAAGGTGACAGCAAATAGAAATAAAGAATGCTCCCCGTTGTAATTACTGCATCCTAAGACCAGCTCCTCTTCTTAAACGTAATAACTTACAAGCAGCAAGAAGCCTCAAGCTTTATGAGATTGCTGCCTCTGCTGAAAGCAGGATGGAGTTTTTGTTTTGCTTTTGTTTTTTGGCAAATTAAGAAAAGAGGGTGTGAGCAAGCTGTAGATGTAAGTAAGCATAAATTCTGTTAGTTGTATAATATGGTGTGTGGGTGGATACATTTGCAATGAACAGAAGCCCACAGAATGCCCATCCCTTTGCATTTTACGCTATATGCACAGAGATAGTTGAGACATGGAGGGCTTTTTAACTGAAGCTTTTGATATTCATGGTAGTCAGAGAGAATTCATCCACAAGGAGGATCATCCTTAACTAGGATATCAAATGACCTGAATAGCTGATATAATTGAGTAACCCAGGCTGCTTTTCCCCAATTTCTGAACTGTGCGCTATTCAAACTGACTCTTTGCCTTCATTAAACACTTTCTTCAGATCTAGAGGATACCATTAAGGTACATGACAACAGTCATTTGATTTCCTCCATTAAAGTAGGTTATATCTGTTCATACCTTAAACAAAAGGAGTTTTATTTTAGATGATTTCAAAGTGTATTTATGTGGACACATAACACCTCATTTAGAAGAAAGGTCTCAGGGCAAGCAGCAGTCATTTACAAAGCCTATCAGGAAAAAGGCAACAAGAGGGAGGAATACCTCCACACGCCAGGCTGGATTGAAATGCCACTTAATTCAAAGCTAGGGACAAGGGCATTAATGTCAAGCAGGAATCCACTGTGATTCTATGTAAATCTGTTCCAATGACAAATAATCCCAGGCAAAGAACCAGACACTAGAAATATTCATAAGTAAAGGCCTACACAGAATAACTAATAGGCTGCGTGTATCTTCACGCAGATACCGACTGGGTCAGTACTGTTTTCAGAAGGAATATCAGCATAATTTCATTGAACAAGGCAGAACACAAATGAGTTTGAGTCAAATAACTTTGTTCAAGTTTAGTAAGGTGAGTCGCTCCAGGAGGAGACCACCAGGTCACATCTGCTCCAGACTGACCTTATTAGTTGTCATCTTCAGAAAATGCTTTGCTAGTTATTTTACAGTTCTTAATTGTTACTCCCCAGGAGATCATGATGTTTCTTACCATCTGAAGAAGGTGGGGTGGTTCCAAGTGGAGTAACAGGTGTTGCTGGAATTGGGCTTGTTGGTGTTGTCATCAGCCCCATTTCAGGATGGCTCTAACAGAAAACACAAATGCCCAGACATACACAGGTCAATGGCTTCCCTAGGCACTAGGCACCAGCCATACAGATCACTGCTTGTACTGATCACTACCTGTACTGCCTCGTGCTCTGGCACAGGAGGCATGACTAATGAACTCCCAAGAAACTTCAACTTCTCCTCAAAAAAAACAAAGCTATGCTTCCTTACCTTGGACATCCAACAATTAAACTGTACATCAATTTATTTACTCCACAAAACAGAAATACATCAAAGTGATGGCTGTCCCCAGTGTAGAATGGGAAGAGGCATGCAGAAGCCTGCACTGTTTATATAGCTTCTGTTTTCCCTCAGAACAACCTAGGGGTGTGCATTTGAAGTCTTCCCCCAAGATCTTTTTCTCTTTCTAAAAACAAATCTCCTCGCTCTTGCCCTCCACCTGCTCATAGTCAAAGATGATGGCAGTTTATTACTTTCCTGCTTCACAGTGCCCAGGCACTGCAGGAAAAGAACGCATAACATAAATAACACTATCATTATCGATCTTCTTGGCTTCCATCAGTCACTTACTCTCCCCATTTCATCTTTGCTAATAGTTGCCTGCCTAATTACTGCTTTGACTTTACTCTTTGCTAGCTTCCAGATCTATCCACACTGGTGAGACTGCAGGCAATCTGCCATGCTATTTTAAGTCTGGCTGCCAAGCAAAGTGTCCATTTCATAGGGCAAGTTTTACATAAATGTATCATCCGCCTTAATATATCATCACGATTTCAAAGTAAAAGGAAGGGATACAGAACTGCTGATTTGATGTTAGTTCCATAGGATTTTTCACAAGTGGATCTCCTCCACATTGTCTTTGAATATCTCATTTTATAACCAAATGCATGTATTTTAACGGAAGCACAGACACACATACTACAATTCAAAGACAATTTTAAATCAGTACACATACTGTTTTAAACTTTAAGAATACAATTTTCCATGGAAAATCTTACATAAAATAGGTTTGCTTACGTACATTTTGCTATGGTGTTTACCTTTCTTTTCCCCAAACACTAATCATCAGTTGGAAGATAGTAGTGCCACCTAGCAGCAAAAACTGAGGACCAAGAAGCTGGTAAGTATACCAAAACCTTACCACCAGGGCTGAACACAACTGTATCCCTGCTCTTTCTATGTGCCCACACAGCAGCAGGGCACGGTCATTCATGCACTCCCCAGCAATGAACACCAACTTAGACAAGAACATTCATCAGTTTTTATGAGGTTTCTTCAAAGGACAGCATGACCTACTTTGCCCTCTCTTAAATGAAGGATTACAGATAACCCACCCAAGAACATCAGGCCTTCGTTTCAATTAAACACACTCATTAGTGGCTGCTTTATCTATGTCTTTCACAAATAACTAATTTATCCTTTCATTTCTAATTTAAGAGCTTTTACTCTGGCTGCTCTTTCCCTCCCTGCTCTTTTCCCTGCCAAAGCCCTTTCCTCCCTCAGGGATCTCTTGATCACATATTACGCGGAACTGAAAGAGCAGAAATCTCTCACAAGTGCTAAAAATGAAGAACCTGGGAAAAAAAAAAAGACAAGGAACCTCTGCAAATTAACCACCCATGGAACAGAAGCTTTCCTCAGAGGCAGTAGATCTGCCTATCAGACCTCTTCCATCTCCACTACTGTCAGGAGTCCCCAAAGGTCTCCTCTATTATGCCATGTTGTCTAGCCTGTGATATATGGCTGCATTCAGAGGACCTGAAATAACTGGGGAAAGGTGTTAGCTGTTTTGTTGCTGCCATTTTTCTCACAGATTACCATCAGTACTTACAAACCAAGATAAAAAGCCTAAACCTGAAAGGTTTTCTAAATACATCAGGCAATCCTTCAGGGGGAAAAATGGCTCATTCCAACATGAGCTTTGCCCTCAAAACTTGACTCATTTTCTGGCAAGGGAGGAAGTATTTCCTAAAATTGTAATAAACCCAGATCCTGGACTGCTTCTGATCTTCTGTGCTCATCTACACCTATGACAAGTATGCAGGGGAAGGAGGGGGCAAGAAAACTTATCTTTTCATCAATTCCATTTGAGACTCTAATTTCAAAGGCATGCACTTGCAAAGAAATGGGCAAACATCACACTGAAACTCACTTGTGCCAGAACTGTGATGAAATTCCGGTTTAAGTGAACAGCTTCATAGAGGGCCAGAAGGATAGCTTCATTTGTTCTGTGGAAAAGACAGACAAAAGAACAGTGAGTTAAGGCTAATACCAGATAAGAATCCCAAGAGCAAAAGTTTCCAGGAGCACAACTCATCGGAAAGAAGAAATTATTTTTTTCAACTATTTAAAACTCTGCCTCTGCAATCCAGTCGTTCTGATTAGTAGTAATACTTAGCAATCCGTAAAAATAGCTATTTTTAGAGTTCAGCTATAGTTTTTCCCTTCCTGCTGAAGGCATCCTTCGCTGCTCAGTGTTTTCCCTTTAAAGCCCTTTATTTTAAGGGCAGAGGGCCATACAGATATAACAAACCCTCATATTTATCACTTCTCCCCTTGATTTCGAAAAGATTTTGTTGGGGACAAGAGTGCACGAACCACTACTTCCCATCTGCCACATCCAACATGCCTCCTAAAATCCACAGGTTTGTCAAAGGTTTTTTTAACACATTTCATTACAAAAAATTCAGCTGTGGCTCCTCCTGCTGCACCCTTCTCACTTAAGTAAGAATCCACTATTTTCAGGGGTGTGGTACCATTTTAGTTACAAGAGAAATTGTCCCTCTAGTTTGCTTTGCTGTATTAGAACATCTCCACGAGTGGACAATGTTGACCTGTGTAGTAAGTTACCATTCATTGTGTAACTGACATCTGTGCACTTACTGGACTGAGATCTTCTCATCAGCATCTGCTATGAACATACTGCCCACCTATGGAAAGAAAGAGTATTGCATAGAATGAATTTGCGAAAGCTGCTAGACAACGAGAAGACATGGAAATCAGAAGTGTTCCGCGAGAGGTGCTGTCATCCAAGGCACACATGCAACTTACTTTCTAATACTAGTAAAATACAAATGGGAAATAGGATGAACATTTCATTTCACACTATTGTCACAGACCAATGCTTCACCTCTCCTGTCACAAAAGGAAGGGGGGGAGGAACAACTGCATTTTGAATCCCAACTCAGATTAGTCTGTGATTCTGCAGGAGGACAGAGATTATTTCCTATCTGCTTGCCCCAAAGTGGCAGTGGTTTTACCAATGTCACTCCTGACAGCTGTCAACAGGAAATTTTGCTTTCAGCTAGATCTGAGACTACAGCAAAGCCAAACTGAACAAGGAGAACAGTGGATACTCTTAACAAGGAAGAAATTCACAACTGCCTTTGGAGGGTACCTCTCTGAAAATGTAGACACTGCAGAATCCAAACTTACTTCACCGCTACGGCGGACCCAGACTTGAGAAACAGAACAGTAAAGAAACAGATATCCAAAGCTAGTGATAGACCAGAATTTGCCACAGAAATATTCAGCTTCTCTGGTATAGAGTACATCGGCAGAGCAGCAACTAGCTTTTAAAAACAGGTAGCTGTTTAAAAGTGTCCAGCAACTGATTTTGATTTTTTTAAATAAAGTCAACTAGAATGAAGAAGATGAAAGAAAACCATTTCAATTATCAGTGCCAGAATAGAGATCTCTTCCTTCGAAAGAGCTCTCCCAGCCAGACAACACCACACTTTCTCTGATAGCCATTTCAGGTGTATTTGGTTTGGACTGGACCAATGCATCCCCTCCTCCAGAACCCACACCCCAAGCTCAGTTTTTGGAAACACCCTCCTGCTGAACTTCTATGAAGGCACCCATTTTAAGAATAGAAAAACAATGCTTCCTTGCTTACCATATTAGTTAGGGCTGAGAAGAAACCACTCTGGTGCTCCTCTTCTTTATCTTTGTATTGCCTGAACAAAGAGGAGTAAGGATGAAGAGTCAGGGTCAGAAACTGAACTGGGCTTATTTTATCTAACACCCCATGATACAGTCTTATCTGATAAGGATACAGGATGGAGAAGGTTTCAGTATTCACAAGCCCTTTTCAAGAAGTCACAAAAGAGATGCAAAGGGTATTAAAATATTCATAAGATGCGTAAAGTTTAAGTGGGGCTACTGAAACACGAGACTGAACAATGCCTGTGCTGTTAGAGAGGATACATCCACTGAAGGAGAAAGACCGAGTGACTTATGAAATTTTGTCCTAGGCTGGCAAAACAGTAATGAACCACATGAACATACACAATCAGTAGCCACATAACAATTTCAGTTCAATCATCATCCACTACAGACTGAAACAGAGTCGAACACCCTATGGCCAGCAGAAAACATAGGACCATTATGGTTCATGACATCATGCTGCCTGATCCCACATTCCTGGAGCAAAGGGACTGGAACTGGAGTAAGTGAAGTCAACAAATCGGTTGGGTACCTCAGCTTTAAGCTAAGTTGCTTCATTTGGCATTCAAATAGACTAGCAAAGCTCACATGGACATTTATTGTGTCTTTCCTAAAGGAATCTGATCACACACAATGTAACAAGCAAAGAAAACACCTCTGATTTTTTGGGGAAGGGGGAAAGAAAGAGTTAAGCAAAACAGGCCACAGTCTGAGACAGCTTCTGTCAGAATGAAGCAAGTTAGGCAGGTGAGGCTTTTTCTGCTTTACTCCAATAATTTACTCTGTTAAATACATTTACGGGGATTTGCTGATCTTGCAAGTGATCCGCATAATAACAACCCTTCAAAGGAATTAAAACATTTTCCTGGATATTTTGAGAAACTACTGCACCAAAAAAAAAAAAAAAAAAAAAAAAAAATTGGAGCCTTGGGTTGCTCAGGTAAAATTGCTTTAAGTTTCCAAATTTTTCAGAAGCACATTCTTCTTAGGAAAGCTTATACATTTTGTGCTGTTGCTTATGAAACACAGCCTGGGAACATGCTACCCCAACTGTTGACTTTCTGCTCTTTCTTCAGAAGCAGTTAATGCTTTCCACCATTTGCAAAGGCATACATCCCCTAATCATCTCTGCTCTGGCATGTGGATAACCCTGGATACATGTGTTTGGTTTAGATTATGTTTCAGTTACATCAATTTTCTAACAGACAAGTACTCAGCAAATCATTTACTTTTTCACTTGGAACTAAGATTTTGCTCAAGGTTCATACAGAGGTAAAATCCATGATAGCAAAAGCATACAATAGTTATCCTCCCCTACAGCAAGGTCTCTCCTGAAGCACATCAGCACAGCTGGTACAGATGCATTTACACTTGCAATGACAGCAACAACTGACCTGAAACACATCAAAACATAAGACTGCTCCCTGCCTCTCCAGGTGCATCAGGGCTGTCAGGTGATAAGTACTGTAACACAAATGTACAACAAGTACCAGGTACTGAAAAACCAGAGACAGCAAGGTTTTACCTGTTATATTCTGATAAAGCCTGGGCAATTACAAGTCCCATTCCCTGAAAAAACAAAAGTGTTAAAAAAAAATCTTTACATTACAAGTATCAATGCAGGAAATCACACACTGAACACGCTTAGCAGTGTTCCCTTCAAGATAATCTACCATGCTATGAAGGATTTCCCCTGAAGCTGTCTGAACTATTAAGACATGCTATGATATGACGAAGTACCATCCAAAAATCAAGACATCAAAATTTAAAGTTGAATATCTAAGTTCAGCAGAGAACATTTACTCTTCTTGTATCTCCAGACAGGGCTTACTCACTCAAGAAGCCTCAATAAAGCAGCAAGAACTTCAGAAGGAAGCTGGTGTCAGAGGAAAGACATCCAAAAGTCCAAAGCAAAGGTCATAAACACTAGTAACCACTTAACTTCTTGCAAACAGCCTCCACGACCCCACAGCTCCTGATGATCCTTTCTGTCAAGCTCATTTAATTAACTGAGAAAAATTGCTCTCGCCCTTTGGTTAGCATGGAGTTTGCTTTTTACTTGGTGCCTAAAGAATAGTTTTAAAGTCCAGACCTCACAAAGCTCGTAACGTGCTGCCACTTTCTATCCAGGTCTGGATACAAAACTTAGTGGCTACCCAAAATACGTTGATGACTCCCGACTCAAGCACCAGCTTCCACTGAGCTACAAGAATTGGCTTGTGGGCTTTTGTGACACAGCACTGGAAACGAGATCTCCTTTGGAATAAGCTACCTTGTGCCTCTTTGGCACATGACAGCAAATAGTGTATAGATAGTTCGTAAATGTATAATAGATTAACCTCAGCATATTCCTTACTAGCTAGATTTTTAACCACCCCCACCATTTAACTGATGATCAAAATGTCCAAATCATGAGCTGCCTGACCTATTGCAAGAGTGAAGAATCCCACTAACTGGTGCTCTTTATAGTAGCACTATTCCTAGACCTTCTTTCTACCAGACACTATGACTGCATTTATTATACTAACACCAGCAGCACAGAGGAATCAAGTCAAATACTCACATTGAGCGTGGCCTCATCATCTACAATGGAGAGCTTCACAATGTAGGGATTCACTGACTGCTCAGGGTGGGTGGAAAAAGAAGAAAGAAAGTTGGTTTTAAGTTCAGCCTTCAGGAAAAAAAATACTATTATCTACCAAAGTTTACCAAACCACCTGGGAAGACTCTCTCTCCTGTCCCACAAAAGCAGAATACACATAAAGAAACAGGAGTCACAGCACACACAAGGGCTGCTATGCCTGGGACACCTCTTTATTGGCCCAGTCAGGCAGTCTCCTGATTTTATTGAGAGGGAGTTTCTGCTCCTCGACTAGCTCATCTGTCAGCTTGAAAGTGGAGCAGCTGTCCTTCAAGGCTGTTATCTGTGACACACACACCGTTAAGCAGCAGGAACAAGCAGTGAAGCTGGGACTGAACATTAGCGTTCTGATATCTCCCTCTGCAACACCTTGCAAAGATTGCTTAAAGGAAAGAGGACCCAGGAAGGCATGACTATGTTGTAGACTCATCTGCTGCCGGGGTTAGAGCTCACCACTTCAACAGTTTACACAACTGAGAGCTATAAGTCTCTGGAGAATATGAATTCCTTGAACTTAACCGAACAAAGCACACAGGCTCCATCTATAAAGATAAGTCCTGATAATTTAGGAAGCATTTTAAATTAGCAATTTACATTTGTTTTTCCTGGTTTATATGCATCAGTGCAAAATCAACAATGTCAATTTGGAACCAGGACAGAGAAAAGGTTCTATCTATGCAGTAAGTCCAAAGTGGATGGCAAGAATAAAACACAAAGCATGTATCAGATGCCCTACAAGTTGCATAGTTATCTGACTGATTTGCCCAGGGCTTGACAGCAAGTTACAAATAAGGCTCATCAGGAAACACCACGCTCTCAATTATTCGGTGCTTTGGAAGGATCAGGCTTTCTTTTCTGTTCAGAAAAGAAACAGATCAGAACAGACCAAAGCTCAGGCAGTCTGTCAGCCTGCCTCCAGCAGCATGCAGCCCTGTCTGCTGCCTGAGAAAAAGAAAACTCACACAGAACCCGTCTGTGCATGATGCATGCAAAGACATTTCCTTGAGGCTGGAATAGAGGCTCCTATTGAGGATAATAAATGGTCATAGAATCACAGAACGGTGAGGGTTGGAAAGCACCTTATCATCTAGTTCCAACCCCGCTGCCATGGGCAGGGGCACCTCATCCTCTCTGTACAGCCATGCTCCCCTTCAGAAATTAAATACAGTCAGTGTCAGTAAAGCACACACAAGCTTCACAAATTTTTAATCAGAAATAGATTAAAATCTATCCTTGTAAATATGTCATAGTTTTGCTAGTTTCTTTTGTTCTCCTTACACAACAAAGAAGAACTCCCCACACCACAGCTCACACACAGAAGAAAGGCCAGTCTGTGACTCACAACCATTAAAAGTGATGGACTCTTTTCCAGACAATGAGCAGCAAGGCTATAACGGATTGGAGGCTGCAGGGTTATCCAAATTCCCAGATGTGGAGAATAAGCAAACTGGGAGACACTACATTGACCAGCACTACAAGGCTGCCCTGAGATCTCATCATACAATCCATCCTACAGGTAGCCTATGACCAACTCTTCACACTCTCACTGACCATGACTTTCCAAGATGCATGCTCCATGTAACCCGCCTCTTGGCGGCAAGATGTCATCAGTGCCCAGCTGACAAGGGTCATGAAGATGGCCTAGACTGCTACAGATCTCTGCCCTCTATCTTTTCAGTTGCCATTTCCATATCTGTAGAAGTTTGTTTAATAATTCCTGGCTGAAGTATTCCATTCCCCTGACACATTCTATGCCTCCTCTAGGCTTCACTAATTCCTTAAGCAGCAGGCAGATGACTAACCACTGCAATTCACACACTGTATTACTCTACATGGACAAGGCAATTTCTAGTGTCTTCCGGTGTGCAAGTCTGTACAGGTGTGATGAGAATATTTCCTGTGCTGTCCACAGGGTGTGTGGTTTGCTCCTGCCCTCCCCTCAAGGGCAAACAGTTCCAGTTATTGTCTACAAGCATTAGTCTGCAAATCTACAATGAACATCAGCAACCTGCAAGTTGTACAAGCACCCCAAAGCCCATCCCATACTTCCTGCCACCTGCTTCCCTATCCTAATCCTGCTGATTCAGAGTTCACTTCCCCTCTCACTGGGAATCACAGCAAAAGTTGTAAAAGTCTAAATTACACCACCACTCCACAACATACAGAAACATGCAACAGCCTTGAAAAGTGGTTGACAAGCATTTTGAAAACTTTAAATGAGTCAATGAAGAGGGCCAAAGAAGAGCAACTGAAAGTAGCAACCTTACTTAAGGACAAAGATTATGACTGCATTACTACAGTCTTTGCTTGTAGCACTGCTTACAAAGGACAGTGTCAGGCAGCTGTCATACAAAACCTTTCTTCAAGTTGCTTTCAACCTAGCCAGATGAACTACTGAAGCTAAAATTCCCCTTGCTACACATCTGCTTCACAGTAGATTGTACTTTTTAGACAGCAGCACAATTTCTTTTGGGTGCCAGTTTGAAGACATCTAGGACAATGTTCTCCAAAGCACTCAACCCCAACTCAAGACTCTGCAGAAAGCTACTGCAAAGAGCAGAACACAGGTCTTACATACTTGCAGCACTCTACCTTACTAAGGACATGAAATATAGTACACAGGAATCCACAGCTCAGGGACTGGACTACACATGTCTCCACCCTTTGACCAAAATGCTGCAATGAGACCGCTGGTCTTTCCAGTCTGCTCTCACCAGTAACCTTACCCATATCATTCCCAACAGTTTTCCCTCATGGCCATATACCAAAACCAAAGTGCATGCTGCTACTCCAAGTTACCACATCACAGATCGCTGAACACAACCTGTAATTTATTATTCTGACAACATTCACAGGAATGAGAAATTAACAGGGATTACTTGACTCTTAAGTGTAGCTCCTGTCTTTGCCCACTCTTTAGGTCTATTCATACTTCATAAAACAACATCTATTATAAAACCAGGTGGGTTTTGGAGCCTGCCCGCTCCCATTAATTCTGTTGAGGAAAGGGTATTCCATGACCTTCCCATTTTTTGCCAATCTGAAGATATTAAGACATTCCTAACTATGAAGAAAAAAATAAGATTGATCATTAAAGGATCATGCCTCATACAAAGAAAACCCAATAGGTGCTTTTTTTGACACCTGATAAGTTTCTTTTTCAAGGTGATGAAAAGAGAAAAAAATGGGAGTAACACAACCAGTTTAGAAAAAGGAAGATGAATAAAATTTCTCAGAGAGGAACCAGTCAAAGAGACAGAGACAGATTTCTCCTGGAAATACTAGCTGTGATGCTTCAGTTCATTCTTTGGTAACAGCTTCTCCAGGTCTTCTGGGGATCTGTGCTCTTTCAGTCTGCTAGTCAAGTTCTGAATCACAAATTCAATCTGAAGCCAAAGATGACTGACAGCCAGATTTACTTTGGAGAGTGTGTATAATCACACAGTCACACACACAAGGGCAAACAGACAAGTTCGGTACAACAGTAAGTCTTCCAAAAGGACCCTACTCAGAACATTTTCCTGAAGGAAATGCAAATCTCCTACATGGTTTCTTTTATGCTTGCACAAAACAAGCTGTATATCATACACATTTGATTATATACATAGAGACAGATACAGTTAGCATAATGTGATTACACTGCAAAAGTTCTGTAGCTGTGTGCTGGATACCCTGATAAATATAATAGCATGTACTGCTAAAAACTGAACTGTAAGCTGCCTTAATAATGCAGAGGTGTGTGTATAATAGAGAGAAGTGATGTTTCCGTTATGAAAAACAATACCTACCTCATATTTTCTGTAGTTAACCAGCAAGGCAAGAAGGACAACAGCATCATAGCCATGTTCCCTGCGACTAAGTGGGCTGGACAGGATCTGGAATAAATAATCACACTGCTCTGTACAGGCCTGCCTCAAGAAGCTTTCAGCGACTCTCAGTACGCGGCCGTGAAATGTACATCTAAGAGCAAATTATGCCCTAATGAAAGACAATATTTAATGTTGCTTCCAATAAGTTCTGCACACAGAAAAGCTTATTTATCACAGAGAGAATTTACATAGGCTTTCTAGGTATAAAGGGCAAATACATTTCATAACAGCACTGGACAGTACCTCAGCACATCACCAACATTATCTATGCAAGTTTTCTGTGTTCTCCCAAGCCCAGTTCCACTTCTAAGAAGTATAATTTATCAAAGAGTAGAAAAAACCTCAATATATCCAGAATGGCTTTTGAAACAAAGTTCCTCTGATACAGAATTTCTCTGTGAACTTACCTCAGAAATCTGTTCAGCTTCCAGCTATGCACAACTGCCTCAAGTGAAAATACTTTAAATGCTCAGTAGTGACTAAAAACAGCAGAGTAGAGTAAGGACAGACAGCATGAAAAAAAAATATAAATCTATGACTGAGCTATGAATGGAAGCAACACATAGTGCCAGCCAGCTATGCTGCATTGAAAAGGCAAATATATCATTGAAACCTCTCACTACAGAAAAAGAGCCCCTGCAGTAGAAGGAAGAAACCTTACCTGTAAAATAGCTTCAAATATGCTGTTAATCATCACATACTCCAGGATGGTGTTCTGGCTGATGTTATCTGTCACCTGAATACAAACAGAACTTTTAAAATCTCACCCGAAGCCTTCCATGACACTGTAGTTGCCTCTGGCACACACCAAGAACAGAAGAGTTTTGCTACCAGATGGACACATTCATCCATAATCTCACACTTAGTCAGCAAGTCAAGGTGTGACTAGCAGTAGAGCTAGACATGAAGTAAAAGAAATCTGTCCTGCCTCCCACCCCTCTGGCAAGAAGCTTGTCCCACTTACTAAGAGCTCCCCCTTTCCTCCACAGATTGCTATTTTACACAGCTGCACGACTGCTACGCAGGAGACAGAGAATGAAAAAACAGGATGCATATGCTCCACTGAGCACTTTCCCATCATGAACAGGGCAGTGAAGTCCCTCCCCACACTCAATTATCTCTTATCACAGCCAAAATAGTTCAGTTGACCATATCCAAGAGATGATGAGTGGCAATTTGTTTCAACTTCCCCATTTTTCATATCTTCACCACACTTGTTTACTCCACACTTCCTGTCTTTCCTCAACCCCTCTCCTCTGCTCCCTTCCCCTTTATCTAAGACTTACTAAATATCCTCTTCCCTAGAAAAAAATCCCCATGAATCAAACTGATACCTCATGCTGTGTCTCCCCTTTTAACCCAGTTGGCACCTATCTTATGAGTTGAAAACAATTTGCTAGTCTGTACTGGCATCATGTTAGAGCAACGATGCATATTCTGGGCTGACCCATGTTCTCATTCACAATTTCTTTCCCCTTCATAAGCTTCACACTGCAGCATTCTGCTCAAGTTTTGAGGCAGTTCCATCCCTCAAGATGTGGCTTCATAAGCTTTTAAGTTATTATACAGCTGGTATTTATTTACCGTCACTAAGCACAGAAGCAGCTTCAGACACAAGCTTTTGAGGCTTTCAGAGCCTTCTGCACAGAGGAGTGAGTCCAAGCTCTCCATGAGATTCTAAAGAAGAAGAGTCATATTATTTAAAAGTAATGTTTAAAATTACTTTAAAATGTTTGTTATAAAAAGCTCTTGGGGAGATTCAAATACAAGAGCACCAATATAAAGCCATGTTATCCCAGAATCGATAACTAAGCCATTCCTCCTGTTACACAGGCCATAATCACACTGATGGTTCTCAAAACTGCTTTGTGTCAACTATATTTTAATGACTACAGGCATAACATCATGATCATTTTCAAAGAGTTTTCTCTAGATGCCTGAAAGATTTTTGTATACATATAACAATTGTATTCACAAAGTAACTCTGAGTTCTACAGATATCATCTTCCTTTTTGCTTGCAAGACCGTAATATCAGTCCTTTCTTTTTTCAATATTCCATTTTATTTACAGACACCATGAGATTTTTTGTAAGCAGCACACCTCCAATTTAATAGCACACATATTAATTATGATTAAAACTACTAGATATCATATAGCTGTTTAACAGACGCTAAAAATAACTGGTTTCTAAATACTAAGTCACAGGTAGTACGGTTAGTCTTAAAGGAAAAACATTCTGGCAGGCAAGCTACTACTTAATATTTCCCCAAATGTACTACTATTTGTAGAGAGATGAAATATTACTACTTTTCGTCAAGATACAACAGGAATTCAGCTTTATCAGCAATTACTTTGTCATTTCCCAAACCCTCAGCATCTTTACAGAGAAGAGGATCAAGTAAATTTAAAACGGTACATGTGCTGATGGAAATGTGAAATGGAACACAGGATATGACTATCAGCTGAAAATTAAGAACAAGGTAAGAGGTTCAATACTAGGTACTAATGGCCTGTAACAGCCTTTTATGGCCTTAAGATTTCTTAACCACAGTGACTGCACAGACTGGAACTAAAGGAAAAGTGCTCTGTTATGTTAGTAACAAACATGGGGATCCCGAGTGTCCTTTTGCCAGTAGCAGGTAAAGAACTTCAGGATGGCTGTTTTTAATAAGTGACTGGACTATTTCCCTCAATAGCTGTACCTTGGTAGACATGCCTGTTTATAACTCACTGCCCCTGCAACATGGCTGCTGTGCAAATTTTTCTCTACATTGCCAGGGCCTCACCTTCATACACAGCTCTGCCTTATCGAAACCAACAAGCATGTTGATGATGTCAAACCCAGAAGTGGATTTGTTCTTCTGATGGACACCCCGAATTAATGCACACAATGTCTGCAAAAAGGGAAAAACAAAGAGGGTGACACATAATGCAACACCTACAACTCAAGACTAAAACCCGCCCATAGACCTAGCACTGGCAAACCTCTAGTCACCATGGTCATTCTCAAGAAAAGACTGCTTAAGTAAGTTTTGGGCTCAGGATCACTTTCCACATGAACACAGTCTGATTAAGGAAACACCCTGCCAACTCAAGCTTAGGATATGTTATCTGGTTCCTATTTACACTTACACAGCAAGATTGTAGACTTAAGCCCTGGCCTACCTTTTGCCAAGAGCTCAAATACAAGTTTGGGAATCCAGGGCTGGCTAGACTGTCTATGTAGCTATAGCTACAATATTTAATAGCATCCTTTCAAACTACTACTAATAATAACATAAAACAAGATTGTATGTCAGAGGTGTAAATGTTCTGATTTAAATCAGCTTTCCCCAGCTTACTGCCTGTCCAATATCTCCTACAGGTGACTTCTCCAAACCTGAAATACATATCCTGTACTCCTACAGGTGAGAGAAGCTGAGACAAATGCACTCACCAAACTGTAAGAATCAGCCTGTGAACTAATTACATTAAACATCAGACTGAGGGGTGTATCCCACACAAGACAGGGGGTGACGTAGCTTTGGTAAGCAGCAATTTGTAGGAAAATGGCTATTAATTCTGTGTGACAGTTCTTCACAGCTTCCAATTAGGAACTATCCTACAGGGAACAGGGAAGGTGTGCTGTATGAATTTCACACTAACTTCTCCAGAGCTTTATTTCATTTTTGACCCATATGGTAATTCGAAAAGGAGGCTGAAATGAGGGAGAATAGGCAAAAGTAGAATACAAAGCTACAGAGTACTCTTGAGCCCCCAGACTGGCAGCCTGTAGTGAACAAGCCCCTCTTGTCCTCTCATTGCCACCTGCTTGATCCTGCATCACCACATCCTCTTGAATTCTGAAACAAGCTATTGTTCTTCAAAGACTAGAGACTATGAATGTTTGTAACCTCCACCAACAGTAAGTAGCAACTGCTCTGTAGGTATCATTTTTCCTTAGAAGCAAGGAAAACAAGATGTTTGATACCAGCAGCTAATATATTGCCTCATCAGAAGCAGAAGAGAGTATTCCCTATCTCTCAGTATGGTACCTGTAATGCATTGACCACTCTGATTGGGTGCTCCTCACCCAGTGCCTGGATGCAGTGCTGAAACAAGCAGTTGATGTTATCTTTTATCTTCATTAACTCTTCCCCATCGAGAGCCTCCAGCTTGCCTTCTAGATATTCTAAGTTGACCTGTCAGGTTAAGAATCAGTTCAGGAATGTTATACAACCACTGACACCTTAGAAATGCAAGTTCTTGCACTGACAGCCTGCCACTTCGTAGGCAAAACAGCAGCAGCAAATCAGGGGATGCTCAGTTCTGGTTACCTTCATAAGAAACAGCTCCTCCCAAAACCTAGGGTTGCATTTACTGGGGTCCTCTGTCTGAAAGAAAAAGGAACACCCATGAGAACAAACAAGAGGAAATCTTTCAGGCAAAATTTAAAGAAAATCATTATCGTGAGTAGCTCAGAGTCAGCGTCATCCCACTGGATAACAAAGTGTTCTCACATATAGTATTCTGTCTACACAGATTCCCAGAAACAGAAGCAACTCTCAATTGGGATGCCTTTGTTTTATCTTCTGGATTATTTTTTTGAGAACACTTGAAAAGCCATTACTTCCTGCAGATCACAAATGGTCCTGGTAGACAACAGGACAAGGTGATATTAAGGAAGAAAGCACAACACAGACCCCTGCATCACAGTAGGAAAGCCTGAAGCATATGGGACAAGGAGTAATGGGTTTAAACTAAAACAAGGGAAGTTCAGGTTAGATATAAGGAAGTTCCTTACTGTGAGGGTGGTGAGGCATTGAAACAGGTTGCCCAAAGAAGTGGTAAATGCTCTATCCCTGGCAGTGTTCAAGGCCAAGTTGGACAGAGCCTTGGGCAACATGGTCTAGGGTGAGGCATCCCTGCCCACGGCAGGAGGGTTGGAACTAGGTGATCTTAAGATCCTTTCCAATTCAAACCATTCTGTGATTCTATGCACCTATACTGCCCCTACCTTGGGAAAAGAATCCACCATACACAACCTTCAGCATAAACTAAACCAAGAAAATTTAACACAACATTTCTTCTTTAGAAAGAAGATATGCTCAGGTCCTTACCGTGAAAATCTCATCATACATCAACACAACTTTCTCCTTCAATGGCTTCTTGGAGGCTGAAGACTTCCGCAGCAGCCCACCTTTCTTCTCTGTTTGCGCCATGCTGGATACCCTGAAGGCAAAAATAGACAAAAAAGGCTAAGGAAACATGAACTTTTCTTCAAGGCATAGCTGGTCTGCCTCAACCATAAAAGGCTTTTTCACTGCACCGAAACACTAAAGGTCTCTCACAAGCTGAAAGTTGGGGCTTTTGTATCTAGAGCAGATACCAAAGGTCCCACTTAGTCTTATATCCCATTTCAAAGCGGATATCAAAGGTCCCACCTAGTCATATATCCCATTTCAAAGAAACACGCAAAAGTGCAGACACAGGCAGATACAGAATAAGCTCCTCATGGATAAGTTTTCTTAATTCTTTTCTTCTAGAAGCTGATTCATAATCTAGACTGACACAGTTTACATCTAGAAAAGTATGCCTTTTTCAATCTTATTGCATGACATGGACAGTGGGATTGAGTGCGCCCTCAGCGAGTTTGCTGATGACACCAAGCTGTGTGGTTCAGTTGATACGCTGGAGGGAAGGAATGCCATCCAGAGGGGCCTTGACACACATGTGAGGTGGGCTGATGCCAACCTCATGAAGTTTAACCATGACAAGTGCAAGGTCCTACACCTGGGTTGGAGCAATCCCAGGCACAGCTACAGGTTGGGCAGAGAAGAGATTCAGAGCAGTCCTGCAGGGAAGGACTTGGGGGTGCTGGTCGATGAGAAAATGAATATGAGCCAGCTTCAGTGTGCACTCACAGCCCAGAAAGCCAACCGTATCCTGGGCTGTATCAAAAGGAGCATGACCAGCAGGTCGAAGGAGGTGATCCTGCTCCTCTACTCTGCTCTCGTGAGACCTCACCTGGAGTATTGTGTGCAGTTCTGGTGTCCTCAACATAAAAAGGACATGGAACTGTTGGAACAAGTCCAGAGGAGGGCCACGAGGATGATCAGGGGACTGGAGCACCTCCCGTATGAAGACAGGCTGAGGAAGTTGGGGCTGTTCAGCCTGGAGAAGAGAAGGCTCCATGAAGACCTCATGGCAGCCTTCCAGTATCTGAAGGGGGGCTATAGGGATGCTGCGGAGGGACCCTTCATTAGGAACTGTAGTGACACGACATAGGGTAATGGGTTAAAACTTAAACAGGGGAAGTTTAGATTGGATATAAGGAGGAAATTCTTTCCTGTTAGGGTGCTGAGGCACTGGAATGGGTTGCCCAGGGAGGTTGTGAATGCCCCATCCCTGGCAGTGTTCCAAGGCCAGGTTGGATGAAGCCTTGGGTGAGATGGTTTAATGTGAGGTGTCCCTGCCCATGGCAGGAGGGCTGGAACTAGATGTTCTTAAGGTCCTTTCCAACCCTAACTATTCTATGATTCTATGAACAGTTGTAACTTGTTATCAATTGGAAACATAGTCCTTCTGGCCAAGCCTCAAGGACATCTTGTGACAAAAACCTCCTGAAACTGTTTGAAAAAGTCTTCTCTTATCTGTTTAATTTGCTGCCTACCAAAGCACTCCAAATTCTGCTTTTGCACTCTGAGGCGCCATCCAACACTAGGAAACATTTGGCTGCAAAGCCTTTCTAAAGCACTCCTGCCACTCCTACTCATCCCTACCTCTGCACCTTGGCATCCCTCAGCTGTACCAGCTGCTCTGCAAATCAAGCCAGAGAAGAACCCCAGCCTCAAAGGCATCCCATGTGGTTCAGTCTGGGAAGGAGGATGGAGGAACATAAAAAAGCTTTTCAGGGATTTATTTACGTATTTTTTAAACTAGATGAATTTCCTGATCCATTTGATAACAGAGGGTTTTCTAGAAACACAAACAGATCTTACTAAAGTTAATCGGTGTCTCATGTTCACTGGCTATCCTATTAAAGGAAGAAAAAGTGGTATCTCTATTACAAAATGAGCTGTTACAAAAAAGTAACAGCCACGGCTCTGCCGTCCTGCACCTTCTGTGACAGTCACATTGCAGGGGCTGAGAGTCAGAACATGTGATTTGCCCTGTACTCTCAACCTCATGTCTGATGCTACACAGCACATCACCACTCTGACCTTGCAAGTATTTATCCTCAATCGCATTTTTCTGGCAAGCATCACAGCTTTAGCACTGCTCTAACCTCCTTTATCATTGCAGCACTGTCAGAGGTACTTAGCAGAAAGAAAATGCCATCCCTTTTCATATCCCTGAGCTCCCAACCTTTCTCCCATACCTCCAAAGGTAATTACACACATGGCAGCAGCATACCTCAGGCAGAGGCTTGACTGAAGTCATGCTCCAGAAAAGCATGGGCAGACTCTTGTGGCAGCTGCACTCAGCCATGCTAAATTATGCACAGAGAACCAAGTTCACTGCAGCATGTAAGACCCCAGAGCTTTAGGAGCAGTCAGCCATGGAGGTAGCTTTGGATTTAGCCTCCATCCCAGATTGCCTGAACCCCTTCCACAGATGCCTTTCGCTCAAAAAGCAAGTTCCAGTAACTACTGAATACCACTAATTCAAGATCTCTTCCACATTCTTTCCACTGGAGACAGCTTTTGATGGTCTTAAGCTACAGCTATGTTCTCAGCTAGGACTCTCAGCTCCCAGAGTCAGTTTACTCAGACACCCACATCCCTTGAGCCATAAATCTCAATTCTAAGTGGCAGGAAAACATCTTTGGGCCTGGAGAAACAATGCTGTTGCAAAAGACCCTACCCCAGGTGTGAAGGTAAGGAGCTTTGCCTGGATGGAAAAGCAAAGACGAGGAGAGAAAGCAGCAGATCTCACACCCAAAAAGCTGTGATTTAGAGAGAAAGGTGGAAAGGTCTTTTGTCTTCCCACCAGAATGGGAATATGCACACCTGGCTGGCTAAGGGATAGTGTGTGTGCTTGAGGCTGTGATGGAAACAGCCTCAAGACACACTGACAGAAAAAGTTTAGCAACTACTGCAACATAACCTTTGGTAAATACAGAAATTATTCCTGTAGCCTGTAGGTCTTTATATCCAATTAAGACAGAAAAAGGTTTCAGTCCAACAAATGAAAAAGAAAACATTATTCAATCATCTTGATAGCTTCTCTTTTACAGACGTCGCATTATTTTTAAACTGTCATGGGAAACAAGACATTATTCTAATTAGAAACATAATTGGAAACCGAGAGGAATCTATTAAAACTCAAATCAAGAATTATGTCACTTTTAGCCTACCAATACAAATCATACCCCAGACTGCACAAAACCATCTCCCAACTAGAACTGTAAGTTTCTGAATCTAAAGCAGCTGCCAGCCCCAGCATACAAACACTTCCATCATCATGCTTCTAACTGAATTACAGCTAACGAATAACAATGTCAAAACTAATAAACTCTCAGTGCTTCTAGGTCAGTGTTCTCACATCAAACGTGCACATGAATGGGAGAGGATCAATACACTCTGCTTGGTGCCTGGACTTTAAGAGCTGCATTTTAACACTTTTCCTACATTTCCAGAAAGACAGAAAAATCTAAATCCCACAAGACCCAAAGGCTTGATGCTGGGTGAGCATCAGAGGGACTGCACGATTATGTGAAATTCCTAGCCTCTGTCAAAATGGGACTTGGGATTCATTTTCTCTCAACGAAAGCTGCACAGAGCACATACAAAGCAGACTGCTAGAGGCAAGGATTAAATAATGTTCTTGTTTATAATTTGCTGTTCTACAAATGAGCTTATGGAAGAGCAAGGGGAGTAAAGTAAAAGTCACTGTTCATGCCAATGCTTTATTAGGCTGTGCTTGTTTCATGACCTATGATGATCAGGCTGTACAAATGGCTTTTTCTTTTCACTGTAGGCAATTATATTTTCTAGATGTCAAAGACAGAAACAGGAAACAGCATTTTGCTAATGAGGACCTTCTAGGCAGCTGCAGGAAAAAAAAAAAACAGTTAAATGCACAAAACATAAGTTGTAGAGATGTCAAATTATCAGGACCTGTGACATCTTATGGAAACAAGGACACTGAATATAGTTAACAATTATCCTTTAAGCACATCACATTTTAAAAGCATGGGTGCATTTTCCACATTTGAGGTTCAAATGGGTAATTTGTTCTGTCAATGGGTCAGTCCCATTAACACTTGCTGCTACACTAATCCTTCTGTAGTCACTGATTGCACAGGAGAACTACCCCTCAGGGCTAACAGAAGCATACCCCCCTGGATTCTTAGAACAGTAAGTACTTTGCTGTGCAGCAGAAGATCCGAGACTCTTTATCTGCAACTAAAAGAAACCTCAACAGAGCACGAGTCTTGGCAACTCAAAGGCAAGAAGATGAAAGCCATAACAGACAGAAGTCCAGGCAGACTCTTGCTTTATCTATTATCAATCCCAGGATCAGCTGATCCAGTCAGGAAGAAAGTGGTGAGCACATCCAACCATCCACCTCTTACCCATTTCACCCCTAACCTCATAGCAGAGATTCCAACCAAACATGTGATATTCTGATGAACACATCTCTGTTAGCCTCTCATTAGAATATCCACAGGAAAAAAATGAACCTGACATTTTGAGTCTGAGGTTTACTCAGATTTATGCACATTGAAAACTGTGGCTGCTCCACACTGACACTCAGCTCCTGTACAGACTCATTATTCCTTGTATCATTGTACAACAGCAAAAATACCGTGCACTAATGCACACCTACACTACAATAACATCAGGATCCAAAACTCGTAACTTCTGTAATCTTGCATGCAGCCCACCAAGCACTGCATTTTGCATTGAATTGCCTCAGTTTGGACTCCCAAAAAAAACATATTGTAATACTTCTTGGCTCAATAAAAAGCAAACAAACATTACATAAAATGGCATTTTCACATATTGACTTACTTGGCAAACCATTTATTTCCTGTCTGGAAAAGATAGTGTCAATGATGTGATCTATATTAGCTGATTAATGCCAAAGCCCTGGACCTCAATCTATAAAGACTCTGAGTAAGAACTGAGATACTTTTGCTTTTAGAATCCCATAACCCTTGACTTCCCACTGCTACTAATATTGAACTCGCTTAAATATTTCAAGTAATTGTCACCACCACCAGTTTCATGCAATTGGGAACCAGCGTGATCACACTCTGCCTTCCAAGGATTTTTGTGGGTGTACCACTCAAGTCGAAAGGAAAGTTGTTCAAAAATTATCTCAATCATGCAAGAGACAGGGATTAACCCTACCTAAAAATTAACCTACAGCTTCTAAAACCAACATGTTGTAAGCCAAGTAGTCATTAAAACTCTTCACTGAAGCTCCAGGAAAAGTTTGCACTATCCACATGATGCATGTGCAGATTTGATACTGGACCCGAGCAACAGGCAATTAAAACATGGGTTCCAGCACTCAACCATCACTGGAAGCAACAATCTGCACCCAGCACAAGGTATATGCAGTGCCTTGACCCAGTTCAAGCTCCAGTGTTAAAACCTCCAGGACCACCCAGCAGCACCCTGGCAGACCACTAGTGAAAAGAGAGAGAGGAGAAACACTGGGCTAGATTTTGTCATGGCTTTAGTAACTGTCATAACCAAATACCTGCTGTAAGCCCTTTTTCAACTTCTTCTCCACCAAGTCTTGCATTGGTGGTTACGGTTTGTGCTAATACATCCACACTGCTTATACATTTCATCCATTCTTTACAACCCTATTTGTATATTGTAAATTGGAAAGAAAACTGCTCAGGCTGTACCTTCCTTTACACCTTACAACAAGGCATCCAACTCACCAACAAGAGAAAGAATAACACTCACAGCACACAAGCATGGGAGCCACCAGGCAGAATTTCCAGGTGCATTCATGCAGTATGCAATGAGAAATAATATTCTGTAGGTGTGCTGTGCTGATGACAAAAACCCACACAGATCCCACTTCTTTTTCTGCAGTACCAAGCACAAAATCTCCAGGAACATCCCAGCATTTGCATTTTTACTATCAAGTCTATCCATCCCTCTCAGAGCAGCAGCAGTGTATGTGCTTCTACATGGTACAATCTGAAGTTACACCAAAATTGACCTATTTCCTCTCCTGAAAAAAAGAAAGGAAAAGCAGCTTCCACCTCCATCTGTTCATACCATTTTCCCCAAATTAATTTTTTTCATTTAATCACGCTTCCTTTCCATATTCCTGGCTCCAATGCCCAGCTTTCTTGTGTCAGAAAGTCTATCTTTTCACTTTTCAAGGCCTTCAAAGCCCACCCCACCTAGTTTACCATGAAGTATTTCACACTGCCTCTATACTCCCACCTAAAAGCTCACACCACTCCGAGACCTTTTTACACGTCTTCCTTCTGAAGAAGGACATTCTTCCTGTAACCTTCCCCTGCCCCTTTTTCCCATAGCTTCAGCTGTTGGTGTGGATCCAATGCCCCTGCTGAATACAGCGCAGCTCCATGACCTTGGACTTCTGAAGAAGCTGCTATGTTCTAAGAAGCTGCACAGTAAAGCCATGCCAAGATAAGAAATGTATTGCTACTGAGAAGTAATGCTCTTGAGACCATTAGTAGCACAAGTACTCAGGAGGAAAAATACAAACATAAAAAGGTGTAAGTCAAACCAGAAAAAAACAAACAAACAAAACCAAAACAAAACAAAAAACAACAAAACCAAAAACCAACACCTTTCTCCCTTTAAAAATCCAGCAGGGAGCTAGAACATTGCAACCCAGCAACTTCAAGCAGCAGGGGCCAACCCTTCCCCTCCTGATGGGTGTCTTACGGCTGGCTGGTGCATTAGCAATGGTAGTGAGCTGATGAATGCTTAGCCTAGCAGCTCATTAAAGCCTCACTGCTTCTTTTGTTCATGCCAGCCAATAACTCTGTAACATTTTTACGCTGGATATTCCCTGCCTGCAGAGTCCCCCCGCACGTTGCAAAAGGTGCCCTAAATGACACAGAGGATAAAGTTATTATTATTGTTAAACCCAACTGATGTCCTTTTTTTTCTCCCTCTGAAATTCCTCTTAAAAATTTCTGTCACACTTCCTGCTGGAGCTCAGCCAGCTGGTGAGCTGCAATCACCGCGTATCGCAATGATCCAAATTATCTTGTCACTTTGCATATTCCACCCACCTGCTCGGCCCTAAATGGCTCTCGTCACACATTCAGGCTGCAGCCCCTGCTTCAGAGCAAACTTTCTTACAGTGACATATGCAACAGGGTTCTGAAGCTGCGAGCTCACTCATGTAGCAAGCTGCCTCTGCCTTCAGCATGACAGACATAAATTTCCACTCTGTTACTGTTGTTTACTGCGCCGCTTCGCTTTGCCAATACAAGCACTTGTAGGGCCATGAGGTAAACCAGATAATTAGATTGATTAATGATCAAATACTTATGCTCTGCTCATGCTTTCTAGAAAGAGTTATCTTGAGCCCAGCCCACCTCAGCAGCCAGAGACTCCAGTCAAAGCTGCTAAGCCTCCCCGGGCCGGGTCGCCCTCACTGCAGGCACCCGGGGGCGCTTACCGGGTCAGCGCAGCGGTAACGAGTTATTATTGTGAGCAGCAGCACCGCAGGCAGGCGGAGAAAGGAGCGGCAGCTTCTGCAGCAACAGACTCGTGTAGAATCACAGAATCAACTAGGTTGGAAAAGACCTTTAAGATCATCAAGTCCAACCCTTATCCCAGCACTGCCAAGTCCACCACTAAACCATGTCGCTGAAGGCCTCGTCTACACGGTTTGTGAGCACTGCCAGGGGCGGTGACTCCACCACTGCCCTGGGCAGCCTCTCTGCAAAGACATTTTACCTAATATCCAGCTTAAACCTCCTCTCGTGCAACTTGAGGCCGTGAGGTCGCTGGTTACTTCGGAGAAAAAACTGACCCCCACCTCATCACAACCTCCTTTCAGGTAGTTGTAGAGAGCTGCAGAGAGCTGTAGAGGTAAGGTCCCCCCTGAGCCTTCTCCAGTCAAAACACCCCCAGTTCCCTCAGCCGGCCCTCATCAGACTTGTTCTCCAGACGCTGCCACAGCTTCCCGCACTGCCGCAGGAGCCGGCCAGACCGGGCAGGGCAGAGTGGGCAGCGAGGAGGGTGGCACAGCCAGCTGCCACCCGCCCGCCAAAGAGGCTGCGGCAGAGCAGCTCCCCTCCTCGGGCACCGGCTGCCCCAAGCCCGGGGGATGGCTCCCCAGAGAGCTGGGCCTGCGGGGCACCCAGCAGCGGCCGGGGCACCAGGCTCCACCGGGACACGGTGCCCGGCGAGGCCCCTCGGGGCAGGCAGAGACACCGCCCCACCGCCCCCTCCGGAGAGGCGGAGCCCCCCAGCCCGGAGCTCCCGCAGTCCCCGGGAGGCTGCTCCAGAGGGGCGGCGGGGGCGTGGCCTGGTCCCGCGCGGGTGGGGGCCGCGGCCCCCCCATCCCCAGCACTCACCTGCAGGCGAGCCTCTCCCTTCCACACGGCGCAGGCGCCGCCGGCCGCTCCGCGCATGCGCTGCCAGCGGGCCCGCGCCGCGCGGTCCTAGCGCCGCTAGCCTTCGGGGCGGGTTGAGGCGCTGTCAGCGCTGCTTCCTCGGGCGGCCCCGGTTTCCCGGCAGCCGCAGGCGGGGTGAGCAAGGGCGGCGGCGGGGAGACGCTTCCCCTGGCCGGATGGACCTCGCTTGTCCCTGTGGGGACTGACACACACACACCTTATAGAAAATGCCCCCTCTATCTGCGAGGCCGCTCCCGAGCCGCGGCCCCGCCGCCGTCCCTGCACCCGCGACGGAAGTAGGCGAAGGGTGGCCCGGGCCGGCGCGGCGCTGCCCCGCCCGGAAGCTCACCGCCTCCTCGTGATTGCGCAGCGCAGGCCCCAGCCGAGCCTCGGTGCAGGGGTGGCCCGTCCCCGGCAGGCAGCCGCCGCGGCAGGTAGGCCCCGTGGGGTCCCGGCGGGACGGGGCGGTCCCGCGGGTGCCTGGGGAGGCGGGCAGCGGGGGGGTCCTCTCGGGAGGAAGAGAGGTCAGGGGAGCTAAGTGGGCAGCAGGGATCCCCGGGGTATGGGGGGCTGGTGCCCGCGGAACCGGCTCGCTGCGGGGAGGAGGGTGCCCGGGGGGGGGGAGTGTTTCTGGAGAGAGCCTGGGGAACGCGGTGCAGTGGGGGGGTCTGGGAGGGGGCTCGGTGGCAGCAGAGCTCCGTGCCCCTGCTCGCACTGGTGCATGTTCTTGGTGAGCAGGGCGGCCGCCCCGAGATGAAGGGAGCTGGGATGCTACGGCAGGTCTCCGACTTCAGTGACTTCAGCCGAGGCCACTGGCTGCAGGAGCTGCTGTGCCAGGGAGACGAGCCCAGACACATCCAGTCCAGCCCCGATGGGCAGCACCTTTTAGTCCTGCAGAAGCTCCGTCCACCCCCTCTGCCCCGGGTGCTGGCCTTCCGGCGCCACTGCATCAGTGGAGCCGACCTGGAGAGGAACTGGCAGCCGCCCCAGCCAGCCCTTGTGGGACTGCTCTTCTTGCGGAGCCCTCTGATATTGGGCTCCTGGGTACTGGCCATCGTGTGGGAGCATGGACGAACTGAGGTCTGGCACTTTGTGGTGGCTGTGGGCTGGCAGCTGCTGCAAACGCTGGAGCTCTGCCAGGGTGTTCGGGCACGAATTGTCTCTGTGTGCAGCCAGGGAGCCAGCCTGGTGTGGTGTGAGGAGAGGCCTCCCCTGGATGCCCACTCGGACATGAGCAAGTGTGCCTTCAGGTTCTGCGTCTGCACCCGGGCTCTGGAGGTGGGGGAGCAAGGCTTGCGTTTGGGCACTGTAGGAATAGTCCTGCACAACAGCCCTGAATATCAGGTCCTGGCCTCCCCCCAGCACATCTTCCTGGTGCCTGCCACTGCCACCTTTGCCACCACTTCCAAATTCCTCCTCATCTGGCATCCAGAGAAGGCAAAGCTCACCATTACAGCCCCCTCTGCAGGCTTTATCCACAGAAAGGTGCTGCATTCCAGCAGCAAGTCAGACTTTAGGAAGCTCCTGCTTGGTTCTGTGGGTCTTCTCTCAGGTTTGGCACCTCTGGACATTCACACCTCTGCTGTTTCCAATAGCGGGGGTCTGCTGCTGGTGAGCACAAAGGGTACTGTGACCATGGTGGAGCCAGATGGGACACAGAGACATATCTTTGACATGGAGGGGTGTCCCCTGGCCCAAGGAAGTCATGTCCAGCTGAAGACCTTTGGCAGCATCCTGGCCTGTGTGCTCGCTGGGGTCCTGTATCTGGTGGACCAGAACACTGGAAGGCTCATAGAAAAGAAAATCCTGAGCATGAAAGAAGTGTATTTTCTGGAGTCCCCGGGAGAGGAGGACAGCATCCAGCTCCTCACTCAAACTGGCATCTACAGCTTTAGCTTCTCCAAATCTGAGGACAGCAGCAGACCTGAGCCGTGGCTGGTGGAAATGGTGTTTGAGGAAGCCTGCAGATACTACCAAAGGAGAAGCCTCAGCGCCTCCAAGCTGACAGTTGAGAAGTTGAAGAAAGATGGTGTGTTCCAGGCTCCTGTGGTCCTTGCCGCCATCCTGCAGCACAGCCTCCACCAGAAGCAGAAGCCAGCCCGAGGTCTTCAAGACACTTATGCCAAGCTGTTGAGCACAATGAGCCTGGAGCTGCAGAGCTTCATGAGCCTGGAGGTCCTGAAGATGTGTGTGGTGTGTGCCCAAGAGAGTGAAGTGGAAAGCTACTGCAGTGAACTGGTGGAGCAGGAGGTCAGCCGTGTTCTGCACTCTGAGGTGGACAAGGACAACTTGGCCTACCTGAACTCCATTTTTACCTCCTTCCCCAAGGCTGCCTGGAAGGCCACAAAGAGCTGCCTGCAGCTGCAGCAGAATGGGGATGGCCTCTTGGTAGCCAGGGCCACCCCAGAGGTGTGGAAGAAGGTCCTGGGAGGACCACAGCAGGAGGATGTGGGTCAGAATGGAGTGGTCCCGCTCTTTGAGCTCATCTGTGCTTCCTTCCTGAGGTTCAAGCCCAAATGGCTGGCCAGTTTTGTGGAGCTGACCCAGCAGTATGTTAGCATCTCTTGGGCATACAGCAGCAAGGACAGCCCAGGGGGCCGGGTGCCACTGTACAAGAGAGCATTGGGAGTACTGGCCAAGAACAAGCACAGTGCAGCAGATGTTGAGATGGAGCTTGAACTGCTGCTCTGCAGCAAGAGGCCTAAGGCTGTGCTGCAAGCTCTGCACCTTCTCATCCAAATGAAGCGGTGGCAGCGGGTGGTGGAGGTGGCAGAGAAGTTCTCCAAGTTCAGCCCTTTGCTTAACAAGGAGATATTCACCACGCTGCTGGCAGAGTTTGCCCAGCACAGGGAGCTGGACCCTTATCTGGACTCGCTGTGGCCACTGTGCCCTGCTGAGCTCACTGCCTCGGACATCCTCACTGTGGTCCTACAGCACCTCCCTCACTCCCAGGAGGACCCAGTGCCCTTCTCCAGCGAGGGGAACCAGCTGACTGTAGGCTTGCTGAAGCCACTGCTGCGAAGGGTTGTGCAGCGTCCCTGCATCCAAGATGAGATGTACCTGGATGCCTTACAGAGCTCCACCTTCCCCCCTCCTACCCCACCCCGAGAACACAAGATCCCCTCAAAAGCAGCTGATGATGATGCCCCCCAGCCATCCATGCCAAGGACTTCCTCCCCCTCAGCACTGTTACAAGGTGACAGTGCGTGAAGGGGAAAAGCACAACTGGATCCCAAGGCTTGAGTGCACAAGGAGGGGAAAGCTTCATCCTCCCAAGGAAGTCTTGCCCTGTCTGGCAGTACAGAAGGCTACTCCTGTGGCAGCATCTCGAAGAGTGTGTTGGATAGCTGGGGTTGGGGGATCTCATCTGAAGCCAGGGCAGGCTTTCTGGCTATTTCTAGCAAGTGCAATTGTGTGTGCCCCAGTGGAGGAGCAAATGCCGGGTGCATTTGCAGATGAAAGCACTGGCTGCACTACAGGACTACAGAACTGCTCCCTGCCTGAAGCACTTTGTTTTCAATTTGCCTGGCTCCTTTATAACTTCACTGATCCTCTAGGAATGGTGGGCAGGGACGCACACAGTCTTTCCTCCCCGTGCAATTCTCTGTTCAGTGGGTTTTGTGGTGGCCCCAAACTGCCTGTGGGAAACTGGGCATGTTTCTTGCAGTGAAGTCACAAAGTGCTGCTGCATTGGGCTCAGTCAGGTGCCTGAATGCTAGCATGGTACAGCTCCGTGGTACTGGGGGTACCAGCAAATGCACTGGCAGCTGCAACACTTCGCACACTATCTGGCTGCAATTCCCCTGGGATCAATCCTGTAGCTGTGACTGATTGCAGCTACTTAGCTGAAGAGAGCAGCCTAATTCCCTTATCTCACTATCCCAGGCGGTACCCAAACTCTCTTAGCTGAGAAGCTGGCAGCAGTCTGTACGAGCCTGGGGCTGGCCCTGCCTCCCCCTTTCCTTTGTGGCATCTTAGATTATGCTGCAGGATACTCGGGCCCTCTGTTCCCATCTCCTCTACCTTTGCCCTTTGCACACAAAAGGGGCTTTGTCAGGGTTGTCTGGCTCATATTGTGCCTCTGCAAAGTCAGTGTAACTTGAGAGCAGTTGTGCAGGAAGATCCAGGTTCCAGCCTCTCTCCGGTGTTCACTGCCTGGCCCCCTCCTTCATGAGAGAGACCCTGGCTGTGGCTTTGCCCCTGCATTCCAGGCTGTGGTGTGAAGGAGCTGTCTCTTGCCTTGCTGGGCTGGCGCTGCCTCATCAGAGCAGGGCTAAGGGTGGAAGACAGACTCCTTTTGAAAATAAAGATTTCTAAAGCAGCCCTGGGGTGGTGGTGGATGTTTAAGATGTGCACCCTCAGGAGGAGGGCAGTTTTATTCTGCTTCTGATGAAAAGTGGCCAAGCTCAACTCACCACTGGTACGTTCTGGGCTCAGAGATCGAGCTGTGTGCCCAGACAGTCCATTCCCTCTGCGGAAGTCAGCTCATGACTGTGAAGCCATGGAGGAAGGAGTCCACACAGGCAGGCAGGAAGGAATGTGTGTGCCATAGAAAAGGACCATGTGGGCAGTGCATGGCTGTGGCTGGGCCCAAGATAGCGTTGAGGAAGGGAGAATTTTTTTTCTCAAGAGCTGTACCTTGTCGTTTAGTTCCTGGCTGGAAAACCAGCATCTGGGAGCACCAGGCTGGCTCCCACGGGAGCCTGCTGCCTGAGGCATGCAGTGGCAGAGCTGCCTGGTTTGTCAAATTGCTATGAAGATGCAGACAAGGGCTGCCACAGACAAGGGCTCAGCTACAGAAAGTCCCTGGGATGGAAGAAGTCTGGCAAAGGGGAAGAGGAACTGCTGCAACGGTTCTCTAGAGGCTACCTGGCTGTTGAGGAGGCCTTCCCTATGGCAGGCCTTGTGCTGTGGCTGTGGGTGCTGTGAGTTTTCTTCCCACACAAGGGAAGTGGATTCTGGCAGCTGCAGCTCACATGAAGAGGAAGTCTGGACTGAAAGGAAAGCCTGCAGCAGCCACTGTGTGCAA